ATTTCACTTATTTCTGCAAATACTAAATTCCAGAAATCAAGTATACACGAATGGTAGTAAGAAGCTGAGTCACCACACTGTTGCCAGCAATATCAATTTGGTCATTGAATACCACAGATTTATCAATTTTATGCAGTGTTCTTTGTTATTTGAGGACAGAAATTTCATGGGGTATTTTAAACACATTTTCCAGTCAGAATCGGAGATGGTTTTACCTATATCTTTCTCCTAGATCAATTTGCTCCAATATTAATTTAAAAAGTAACTGAGATTAGAAAAATTGTTGCCTAGAGGCTATACCATTAAGTTCAGTTTCACTCAGTATGAACTTCTCAAGTGGCAGTAATTGACTTGTTGCCTGTTTCTGAATTTCAGACAAAGATGTAAACTAGGTTATTTGCAGAGTTTAGACCCAAGAATTATGTCTCTCTTAGTTACTCTTGACACAAGGCCTCTTAAATCTACCTCTTAAATCTACTATTATTATTTGTATTGCATTTATTTCACTCTATTGTTACTGTTATTCTTATATTTCCATTATTTTACTCTATTATTATTATTATTATTATTATTACATTTATAACTCTATAACTCTATTGTTTTTGGAAGGATATGTAAGCACATTTTTACATTGAAGAAGGTTGAATAATGGTTTAATCAGAGTTGGTCAGTCTTATCTTAAATTATAGTTTAATGCAAATATTCAAAAATATTTAACCTACTGATGCCTCAATTAATGTTATTTTATTGGTATGTTTTTTATTATTATTTTGAAACTTACCAGTAGCTGTTGCATTTTCCACCCTAGGCTTATACTCGAGGTCAATATGTTTTCCCAGTTTTTGTGGTAAAATTAGGTTTTTCAGCTTATATTTGGGTCAGTTTATACTTGAGTATATATGGTAGATTGACTCAAGAAAGGAAGCCACTGCCCTGAATTTGTAAGACCTATGCAGGGTAGTTGATGATCAGAGTTTATTTATTTATGATATTTCTATCCCGTCTTGCTCAAACCCGAAGATGACTCAAAGCGGCTTACAACTCGGCAGCCATTTGATGCCGTAACCATATACAGTATAAAATTTAAACATTTAAACAGGTTTATCAAATCATACAATAAAAACCATTTTAAAATATAAAAAACAATGTCTTTACTGTTCATCATGTTGTCCAAAAAACATTGTCTGAGTCATTCCATAATTCAGTTCCATATGACTCCGTATTTAACTATTGAATTGCATTCTTAAAGGCTTGTTAAAAAAGCCAGGTTTTTACTTTGTTCCGGAAAGTCAGGAGGGGGGGTCAATCTAATTTCCTTAGGGATAGAGTCCCATAGCCAAGGAACCACCACTGAGAAGGCCGTGTGAAGAAGGTGGGACCGAGAGCAGGACTTCCGCAGGCGATCTTAAGCTCCGAGGTGGTTCATAGGGAGAGATACGTTTGGACAGGCAAGCTGGGCCAGAACCGTTTAGGGCTTTATAGGCTAAAGCCAGTACTTTGGATTGTGCCCAGAAACAAACTGGCGGCCAGTGGAGCTGACGCAACCGAGGAGTTGTATGCTCCCTGAGCACTGCTCCAGTGTGCAACCTGGCTGCCGCCCGCAGGACCATTTGAAGTTTCCGAACAGTCTTCAAAGACAACCCCATGTGAAGCACATTGCAGTAGTCCATATGGGATGTAACCAGAGAGTGGACTACCGCGGTCAAGTCAGACTTCCCAAAGTACGGACCAGAGTTCATGAAGGTCTCTCGTTTCTAAGTTCACCTTAAGTCAAAGCTAACTTGATGGTAAATAGCAAAAAGCATAGATATGTGGAGAGAATTAGCAGATTTTTTTTTACAGTTTACAGAGTTATGCCATACTTACCTGGAAGCAAATACTATTACTTCAATAGAGATTGCTTCTAAGGAAGTGTGATAAGTTTTATTAACTTCTGAGTGTAAGGAATTTGTTAAAGGCTCAGATTAATCATCAAGCTGAGACTATAGTACAATAGACCCTTTACCTTCCTGCTTGAGGCTTCCTGAAAACTGGATCTGGTGCAAGTTTGAGGAATGTACGGGGGGCTCCCCTGGGGAAAGGAGGTCACCACGCTTCCATTTCTGCTGGATTCTACTGATCCACCAGTGAAGGTAATGCTTAATTATTTTGCAATTATAAAGGAAAATGTGTATGTTACTTATATAAGACATCTTTTAACCTTTTTAAAAGTTTTAGGCCTAAAATGATTCAAAAGCTGTTTTTTTATGAACACACACACACACACTTTTTCCTTTGCTTTAGCGATTAAGTCTATTTCCACATCCTCAAAAAGGCTATGTGGGCACTCTTTCTCAGTGCGTGAATATGACAGCAATCTCATTGGGACTGATGACATGGATCTTTTGCAGCCATGTGTGATAACACTTCTAATGTGTTTCACAGTTCAAACTGATGCAGGCTGACTGAGATATTTTGTTACGCATGCTGACTGACCTTATTCTCAGGAAGCCAACTCAAGATGGCACATATCTTTCAGCCTAAAGATACAAATAGGGATTTTGGCAAAGCTCACAAGACTCTACTTACCTTCTTTCTCTCTTCTCCTGCTGCTTTCAGAGCTGGCAGGTTGTTGTACAGTTCTAGGTCCTTGGTCATTTGCTCATTTTTGTCTTTGAGAGAAGAGAGTTCATCCTTCATCTTGCTTTCCAATTGACCCATCTTCTGGAGATCCATCTGCAGACGTTGACAGTCTGCAATATATTTTCAAAAATGGCTAATAAGCTGTGCTGATATACATAGGAAATTATTTTTTTAGCATGGAGAAAACTCAATCATAAATTACACTCATTCAGAGGGACAACAACTACCCCCTGCCTGGTTTGCTCACCTTGGCCATGGTCCAGTAAAGCTTTTAAGCCTGTTCTTGTCTTATGCATGGAAATATCCACTATCAGATGAACTGGTACTATGTCTAAGACAAGTGCTGACACATTTTATTACTTACAGCACAAATTGCCAAACAGAAATGAACACTGTTGCTCTTAATTTATATTTATTAGTAGAACGATATGTAAAATGGTCCTACTGCTCTGTTTTGGTTTTAGGCTGTACAAATATATTGTAAACTCTGTAGGCAAAGCTTTCTCTGATTGTAAGAGCTATGCCATTAGTCTTGAAGGCCCTACTGCAGTCCTAGGCACCATCAACACTGCCACAGAATGCAATTTAACTGCACTGAACTGGATTATGAGTCTACACTGCCATATTATGCAGCTCAATGTGAGCATTCTGAAAATACATTATATGGCAGTGTGGATGGGGCTTTGACTACATTCAATTGGATCATTTCAACATCACTTCTGCAGATGTTTGGCTCAAAGTACAGTAGCAGATTGCCATCTTTCTGACCCACCCTTTTCTGAGACCATCTGATTTCTGCAGCTTCAGATGTCACTTCTTTTCAAAAGTGTTTGTTACATTTACATTCAATTGTTCCAGTTGGTATCCCCATGACTGCACGAGGCAGATTAACACCTGCCCAGCTCAGATGCTCTGGAACATGACATACTCCTTGGTTCCACTCTGGGCCCTACCACACTGCTGAATATCAAGGCAGAAAATCCCACAATATCTGCTTTGATCAGGGTGATCTGAGTCCACACTGCCATATATTCCAGTTCAAAGCCGAAAATGTGGGATTTTATTCAGCTGTGTGGAAAGGGCATGCATGGCCCTTGACTGCTCCAGTTTCATAGGGGAAAAATATTTACTGCATTTATATCCTGTCCTTCTCACCCTGAAGGGGACTCAGGGCACAATTTAATGCCACATTTACATCCACAGGATAAAACAAAACATATACATTAAAATTATTAATCTTAAAAACCCATTACATTAAAAACCACGCAATCCAAAGGCACATTCCAGGAACCGTTCCATAAATTGCACTATCCTATAGTCACTCATTGCACTGCAGATTACTGTCCAAGGGCTTGGTCCCACATCCATGTCTTCACTTTCTTTCTGAAGGACAGGAGGGAAGGAGCTAAACTAATTTCACTGGGGAGGGAGTTCCATAGCCATGCCCTGTCTCTCGTCCCCACCAGTCGTGCCTGTGAAGGAAGTGGGATAGAGAGAAGGGCCTCCCCAGGAGATCTTAAATCCGAGATGGTTTATAGGGGGAGATATATTAGGATAGTTAATCTGGGACTGAACTGTTTAGGGCTCTATAGGCGAAAACCAGCATTTTGAATTGTGCTGGGTAGCAGACTGGCAAAGCCCAAAGTTTCTAAGTCTAAACCAACTGGTGGAGAAACAAGCAATATGATTTGTTGATTAGTTCTGGACATGGCTATATTTCAGATCTGAAATGGTATCAATCAAAATAATTTCTTAGTTCACTATTATGTTAAGCACGACCTACCATAGGTCATGAAGAACTACTGAATTGACAAAAACTGTTCAGCCCTCTTTAACTGAAATTGATTGTCATTCATAATAGTAAACTGCCATTACAACTGCACTTAGCTTCATAATAGAGTGCCTGCCTCTTTGTTTATTTTATTTATTTATTTATTTGACTTGTATACCGCTACTCCCAATTTGGCTCGGAGCAGTTTACAGCAGATTAACACAATACAATTAACTTTAAAATACAATAAAAACAAGAACAGACATAGTCCCGAGTTATTCACCCATCAAAAGTTTGTCAGAAGAGAAAGGTTTTCCAGGCTTTCCGAAAAGCAAGTAGATCTCGGATAGATCGGGTTTCAACTGGCAAGGCATTCCATAAATAAGGGGCTACAATCGAGAAGGCTCTCTGCCTAGTAGAGGATAGATGATAGTCCAGATGTTGGGGACTTCAAGCAAATTTTGGTCTTCGGACCAAAGTAATCTCTGGGGTTGGTAGGGGGATATGAAGACCTTCAATACATTTCGAATGCACTTGTGTGATGTTGGGATTGCAAAGTGGGAGACTAAAAGGAAATGGGCCTGGGAAATATGTCTTTAAAGATATAATCATATTAAATGCCTTGTTTGGAGCAGTCAGATTTTAGGAACTCATATGGTCGAAAAGGATTCCCCCCCCCCCCCCATTTAACTAGATTTTACAAGGCATTTGAGTTACAAACTACCCTTTGAAGGAGTGTTCTGGTAAATAACACTTACAAAATGTCAATTAAAGGTACTTTCCTTAAAAGATTTTTTTTGTAGTATCTGATTTCCTAGCTGCTGGGAACATATTTATTGGGATGCAATGAGTGGTGGTTTATCTGTTTAGTCAAATAAAATGTCTCAGAAACAGAAGGAGGATCTGGAGTGAAAACAAGTTTGAGTTTTAACTGATGAAAGGAATAAATTACAATCCAGAAACCTTAGGTACAAACAGTGGGCCATGACTCATTTATGCCTACGTGGTATTAGCTACCACCAATCATTTAAACAGGTTAGCACACAAATGATCCCATTGGTAGATGAAATCTCTCTCATTTTGCAACAGCTTATTGTAATCCTTTGTATCTAAGAATGGCTATGAGAAACCTGAGTACTATATAATTTACTTTTGTAGGAAAGCTTCCACTATTCCACTATTATAAAATAAATTCTTATTTTAATGTATATATTTATTTTATTATATGTATGTTTATGGCATCAAATTGTGCCTGTGAGGTTGCTCTGAGTCCCCTTCGGGATGAGAATGGTGGGATACAAATGTTATAAACAAATAAATATTCACATTTTGTGAGAAAAGATAATGTTGTTGAGCCCTTGAAAAACATTAGCAGAGAAAACCAAGAAACTGTCCACTTTAAAAAATGACTCTATGCTATAGTTTGTCTTAACTACAGACAGTTGAACAAGCCTGGATCAGCTCACAGAGATAGATGCCTGAGGATCCTGATGAATTTGTTTATGTATACACAGGGGGGCATGTGAAGGAGTATGTATGAAAACGAGTGGGAAAGCACAGAGGAAGATAAAGAGGATGTTAATGGGATTATGTGTCAAAGGCATGCCATGCTTTATAGACAAGGAATCTTGGTAGAAATATGATCAGGGAACTGCTGATGCCCACACTTTCATCTTCACACCTCCTTCCTTCCACTTGTCACAGTTTATTCAATTGCTCTCTTGTAAGCAGGGTCTAGAGGGGTCCCCCAACGTCTCCTGTTTGCTCCTTTTGTGCATACATTATGTACAAAAAGAAAGCACCATGGGGGCAGATGGGGACAGTAATGACAGCAGTGGGGAAGTAAGTGGGCCCATGCAGAGAAGGGTCTCAGTGAAAGGCTCGTGTCCAACATTGTCCCAAAGGCTGGAGCAGAAGGGAAGGCGTATAAGCTGAAAGGTAGACCATTGGCAGGTCACTGGTTCAATCCCTAGAACACTAAAGGGCAGCTTAGATCCCTCACTATCATCTGAAAAACACTGCGATAAATCAGATTCCTTTGTTTAACAGTCTGAAGGAGGTAAAGGCTTTCTTCAACCAATTACTATCACCCAGGGGAGAGGGGGAGGGAAAAGAAAAAAAAAGACCCTTTACGACCCTTCTCTCTCTGGGAAGCGACAGGAAGAGGATGCAGCCCAGTTCCTTCTGATATGCCACTAAGTCACCGACTTCAGCAAGCAATGTGTACACAGTAGCAATTTCTGAGACAAAACTGCTTTGTGCTTTGACCCAGGGAAATGTTAGTGGGAAATGCTGCCATCAGCAAATGAGTTTACTCACAGAAGTTTCCTTTTGAGGAGGGGAGGGGTGCTTCTGCAATGGTCTTTACCCAAAGTGTGAGCTTGCGGCTCCTGAAAATCTCCTCTGAGTCGGCAAGATGTTGTTACAGTGGGAATGGATGTCTCATAGTCAACGTGGCCCATGGTACAAAATCAGAATTCAGACTCCCCAAACCCTTTTTGTCCAGAAAGAAGACAAACCTCTCATATTTACAAAATCATTCAGTGATATGTTTGTAGAATTTCCTGTGGAGTTTTTTTAATGCCCCAATATTGTTGATACTTGATTGAAAGTCTTTGGGTTTCATTTGTATGTGTGGCAGCTATTGGGACTTCCACTTCATGTGGATAAACAAGGAGCTGAATTGTTTCCATTATATATTACACCATTATATATTTCCAAAGCATTAAAAAAGAACATACATGTTCCTATTCATATAAATAAATTTCCGACAAAGAACACTTTGAACCTTTCAGACCAGGATGAACTACAAAAGTGAAGCAACATACACCCTAGAATATTATGTAAGACTCCAGGATTTGTGCACAGTCTTAAGAGCATTTGTCAGAAATCTTGTTGCAATTTGTTTCTTAATGTCCTGGTGTGCATAGTTTAATTCAATGCTGGATATAGGGGGACAATGAGTAGTGTTAGATGAGGGCTGATTTGGTTGCCAGAAGGCCATATTACAAGGGTCTCCTCAGACAAAAAAGCCTACTTAAGAGGAAGGAAAAGACTCTGCCAAAACTAACGAGTTCTGGAAGACCTTGAAGAAGAGACGCTGACAGTATCCTTATCAACCGTTTAGGTTCCTCTGGACCTTTTCTTGGTTATCAGCTTCCTTTGAGCCCTGTACATATATCTACTCAAGCTAGAACTCCTATAAGTATATTGCTATTTAAATCCAAGTCTCTGGTGGACTTTCCTCTGCAAATTTATACAAATGTTCAATAAGACTGGGACAAAACAGGAAGACAAAGATGGGATAGGCACTGACTTTAGAAACCATCTAAACTGATTAAAACCATTGTAGTACTATGCCACCTAAGCTGAGGCCAGGTAAGTGAGACAAAAGATACCATTTCTCTGGCATGAGAGCTTGGAAAAATCATTTTGATAAGAGGAGGTTTAAGAATTGTAATCCAATAAAAGAACTTTTCCAAGCTCTGTGAGTTACTGAAAACTTTTCTTTCCCAATAATTCCTGCCCTATCATCCAATTGTTGGTAGAAGGTTAGCCACTAGAACAAATAAAGCTGTTTCCATCTCAAATCCAGAACTGGAATAGATGTAGTTACTTAATTTTCACCCAAATCTTTTGGAACTGATAGACCACCATCTTCTCTGGATTGGTCAGGTTAGAAACATGACAGGTCTCATGCTGGTTTCTTTAGCTTTGCTTCTTTACAAAAACAAACCCCCTCTCAGCAATTATGACCTTAGAGAGTCACGCCTTCAAAGCTACACAGACTTCACAAATCCAGTTTGTTCATTTAAAGACTTATAGAATTTTCTCATCAAATGTGTTTTCCTTTAAAAATTAGACAAAGCTTGTCAATTTTTTTAATGCACCTTAAAATTATATACAGTATATGTTCTTCTAACAACTTTTGCAGGCATTATTTCATTTATTTTGTTTGTTGTCTGTTCTTTCATTGTGTGTTATTCTTACAAATACCAGACAGAATTGTACTCTTCACATGTCAACTTACCTGAACCTAGGTTTTTTGCTGTACTCTGTGATTTCTGCATTTCACTTGATTTGAACGTGAGGTCTTCCTGCATGATCTTCAGCTCTTGATTTGTAACAGAAGATATCTGCTTCATGCAATTTACATTCTGTACAATGAAAAATAAACAGCAAAACAGATGACACCTTTCAAATGTACAGATATGGATGGTGAATTAACAGTCAGAAAAGTCGGAGGCTTCCGTAGTACTTAATTGAGCTGCAGCAGATCCCATCGGGAAATTTGAGATTATGAGTAAAAAGGAGTGTTGATGTAATTTTTTCAGAGTTTTGTATTATTTCACCTAACAGACAGAGTTAGAGCTAAAGGGGAAGAAATGTTACAAAGCCTCTGCAATTTGAGACAGTGCAATGGACAAGTATTTGTGCCAGAAGAAATACCTCACTGCACATACTAAGAAAAATCTCTTTAAAATAAAAATAACAAATTTAGAATAATATCTATTCAGGTAAAAGTCATGTGGAATGCACCAACAGGAGTAGAATGTAGAAATAGTAGTGCTATCTTATTCTGCTTTGTTCTAACCCAATGGTTCTCAACCTGTGGGTCCCTGGATTTTTGGCCTTCAACTCCCAGAAATCCTTACAGCTGGTAAACAAGCTGGGATTTCTGGGAGTTGTAGGCCATAACATTTGGGAACCAACAGGTTGAGAGCCCCTGGTCTAACGTCACTTAGAATACTGTGTCCAGGTTGAGGCTCCACAGTTCAAAGATTTTTGACAAGCTGAAATATGTTCAGAGAAGGGTGAACAAGATACTCAAAGTTCTGGAAACCAAGCCTCATGAGGAACAACTTAGGGAAATAGATATTTCCATCAAATATTACATATCACCAGCTCCATCATGGTGAGAGCCCCTCCCACTGTCTTCAGCTGCAGGGGCATCATCTTGCCTGACTAAGAAATCAACAATAAACACTTGAATATTGAAAGCTTCACTTTCACATTTTCCTAAAGTCTCACAAATGATGGAGATGACATGAATTTATCAAAGTCATGGTCCACAAGACTATAAATAAAGAAGCATATAAATCATTTCATTTGCTGTCATCATAAGGAGACAAATACAGAAAAATCACCTTGGATTGAACACAGAACAAAACGTCACTCATGGAGAAATGGTAGAGAGATTGCAAGGTAGACAGGGGCCCCTTCCACACAGCTTAATAAAATCCCACATTATTTGCTACAAACTGGAATATATGGCAATGTGGACTCGGATAACCCAGTTCAAAGCAGATATTGTGGGATTTTCTGCCTTGATATTTTGGGTTATATGGCTGTATGGAAGGGCCCAAGGAATCTTTAAAAAGCAGATGAAAGACTCTCCCTTCATCACAATTGTCACTGCTCTGGCCTCTGAGGGAGAAACAGCAGTGTCTACTGGACCTAATCCCCCTTCTCCCTGCCATTGCCTTTTCCTTCTGTTTAGATTGTGAGCCTGAGGGCAAATTAATTATATGTAAGCTGCTACAAGAACCTTTGTGTATACTCTAAATAAAAATTTGTTTAGGTTGGAGAAAAGAAGACAGAGGTGACCAAAAGGGAAGGAAGGAAGAGAGGAGAAAGAGGGAGGGAAGGGGGAAGGAAAGAGGGAATAAAAGATGAGAGGGTGGAAGGGAAGAAAGGATGGAAGGAGAAAAAAGGAGGTAAGGAACAGAGGGAGAGAAGGCGGAAGGAAAGAGAGAAGGAAGGATAGGATGGTGAGAGAAAGGAGGGCCTGAGAAAAGGGCTCAAGAGGCCACATCTGACCCTTGGGCCAGGGTTTGCCCATTCCTGAACTAAACAGTACTTATGGTCCAGTTCAACTCTTTGTATTTCTGAGGTGTCCCCCCCTAGTTCTAAAAGGCTAACTAATGTTAAAGAATAAAAAGGTCAGTATTTTTTGCATGATAGTGATCGCAACATGGAATAAAAACAGAAGAAGATTGAGTGCAGATGCGATTATGGCTTCCTCTGACAGTTTAAAGATCTGGAGTCAGTATTGGAAACATGCTATGGTTTCCTCCAAGAACAGATTCTCCCTGTTTACCTCAACTGTAATTAAGTGGTATGTTCACACTAGTACCTATGAAGCTAAGTTTAACCTACAGTTAACTTGTAACTAGCATCTGAAACTAAGATTTGAAGCAGGGGGTCGGGATGGAGGATTGTATCAGGGAGAAGTTCCAAGTGAGATTAAGAAGCATACTTTTCCAAGGCTGGCTCTTCATTTATTAACTGCCATTAACAGGAAACCTGCATTATCTCTATGCTGACTCAAAGAATAAAAGGGGTGGGGAATTAATTCTGCACAGTCTTTGTGAAAATGTGGGGAACTCTATCATTTTTTCTCAAGTATTTTGGCTCAACTTCTGCAAGCTTCAGTTTGATTTTCTTTCTGAAGAAAAGTGGAAGAATAACAAAGAACTTAAATATAATGTCAGCAATTGGCTTTATTATTCCTAAAACAGATATAATTGTAGCTGGTATCTTTTCAAATCTATTTAAAATTAAGCAATAATTGCCCATTTTATGAAAAAGGGGATTCAGGATGTTATCCACATTTAATGAACTGTACATCCCAGTGAATTTAGTGGGGCTTATTTCTGTGTAAATGTACACAGGATTAAAGCCAAAGTCACTTACCCTGCTTGAGTGCTCTAAAATTGCCACAATATTGGCCTCTATCTGTGTTTTCCGTTCCAGTTCCTGGTTTTTTGTCTCTTCAAAAGATTCAAGAAAGTCTAAAGATTGAAAAATAAGATAAGGGAGGCTCCTGTTTATAAAAGGAACAGCAGACAAATCCTGAAACTACTTAATAGCTGTAGGCATTTTGTATTAAGCAGACTTAGAAAAATATAAACAAACAACTAAAAGCAATTTAAATATATCAGAGAAGAACATTAGGAAGAAAAAATGTGCATGAACATCTAGAAAAAAGAGCCAGTATTTGTTACATTTAATTGGCTTTTTAGTATCTGTGTAGTGATCCAGCAATGGAAAAGTATACAGTACATGGAAAAGAATTGCTACACATGAAGAACTACATGTCATGCTCCCTTTTTTTTCTATAAGTGAGATCAGAGGCATAGAAGATTAGGCAAGGGAGTTATCGTCTCTCCTGGTGTTTTTCTACAATTCCCAGCATCCCTGACCATTGGTTATCCTGGGAAATTGGGAATCTGTAACTTTCTCTTCAATCTGGGATTAGGAAAAGTTTTGCACTTGTGTTGAAGTTCTTCACAAGCTACTTGAAGAACGTACTGTATACTTAAGACTCATGTATAAGCCTAGATATTTTAGTTGACCCCAAAATTAGTCGACATAAATATCATACCTTAACTCATAAAAAAAGGAAACATTCCTTTCTCTGAGCAGAGTTGTGAAAAGCAAGGGTTTAATCCATCCTGGCAGAACTCAAAAGAACCACCAACCCCCTGTATTTCTTCACTATGGTGCTGCTTCTGGCCTTTTTGAATGTTTAGGAGGAAAATTGTGACAGTGGGAGCAGTTCTATGGCACTGAGAGGGTAGAGGGGGTTGGTACTTCTTTTATACTCTCCCAGAATGTACTAGGGTTTCACCTTTAGCCATGCTACTCAAAGAAGGGGATGAAAACTTTTGAAAAATAAGAATTAATATTATACGTAAAACTTATTGAAATGAAATATGTTAGCAACCTGGGGCAGCTAGGCCACTGAAGCAGCATTGGCACATTTTCCTCTCTGTGTAATGACCCTCTACTTATTCATGGGTCATATCAAAATCCATAATTTTAACTACCAAATCTCCCTTGACTTACATAGGTCAACTTATACAATAGTATATATCGTAAAACTGGTTATGCACTCCAGGATTGCACTGTAACTACATACGGTTAGTATGTCACACTATGCAATCCGTTCATGGATTGATTTTAAAAAATTAAGCCATATATACAAATTTTAAACACAGCATATTCAAGCTGCAAACATCGAAGTCTTGAGACATATATGGAGCATTAATAGGAGCAAACAAAGAAACAATGAAGCATTAATAGGAGCAAACAATATCTTTGTGCCGCTAATACAGAAGTACACAAGAAATCTGAATCAGACCTGCATGAGAACCATAAATCAGCACCTAAGCTCCTGCACCCTCAAGGCAACTCTTAAATTCCTGTTAGAATACATGCAACACCTCCTTTTATCTAATCTTCCTTTGAGGACAAAGTATGACCTCCATATCTGATCCCTCCATGGATAACATAAACCATGGATGATAGCAAACCCTATATTTTGGCTATACATGCGCTGGAAGCATATCACAAAATCTTACTGGGGAACTTAAGAGAGTCCCGTCCCCACCTTCCATCGAAATATTTCTAGGGGCTGAAATATTTTTAGTGCATGGATAAGTGAAATTATGGCTATCAAATCTGTGTATACATTTTCTCACCAGAATAATGGTCTATGTACATGAATTCTAAACTATGCTCTTCACAAAACTTTTCAAGTGTTTGCTTTTTCTTTATATTAAGTATTTTTAAAGATGTGATGGAGTATTTTTATTTACTTCTAGTTTCCCACAATTGTGCTGTATTAAAACTGTGAATTTAATAGGCAGGAGGGTACACAGGTTGGCCAATTCAAAGGCATTAGGTAGAACTCTGTTTTCACTCTATACTTTACTGCAAAGTTGTTTTCCACCAGTAGTTCTCAACCTGTGGGTCCCCAGATGTTTTGGCCTTCAACTCCCAGAAATCCTAATACCTGGTAAACTGACTGGGATTTCTGAGAGTTGTAGGGCAAAACACCTGGGGACCCACAAGTTGAGAAACACTGACTTAGATACACATTTTGATATAGATTGCTTTAACTAAGGGTTCATCTACATGGATCAAAGCTGTTCTGGAGTAGCAAAACTCTGATCCAGTCCTGGAGGTGGCTAGCTCCCACCTGCAGTGGTGACGGGATGGATTTGGGACTGTCCAGCTGAGCTGAAACAAGTTCAGCCCTACTAGACAGCCATCTTACTCTGGATGCCTTGTTGCTACTCCTGACTTTTGTTGGGCCCCTTCATTGACATCAGCCATGAGAGAGATATATAGGTGTGGTCTGTCTTCCTTTTCCTGCACTGAGGAGTGCAGGGAAAAGGGAATGGCAGTGCCAGGCAGTGTGGGCAGTGATCTGCTTCCAACTAGAGTGGACTGGATTAAATTTGCTGTACTTCAAAACATTCCTTGACTTCTCCTAATATGGGACAAAATCAGGTCTGTGTTATGGAGCAAAAGTACCTCGACATAGTGTGGTAGGAACAATTTCTGGTCCAATGTAGATTATAGGACCAATAGAGAAGTCCTAACATTTACTGGTCATACCATGTAACTGGGTCTACAAATCTATATCCACTTTCCTGAAGCTCTAAAAATAGACTCAGTAGAGCTCTTTAAATAAACTCAATGCATCTTGTCTAAAGATATTTGTACTTTGATAATACAGACATATGAAACAACAGTACATACATATGGAAATACTTACTATCCATGCTTTCCTCTCTCTTCTTTAACTCTTTGTATTTCACATTTTTCTCTCCTACAGAAAATGCCATTTAAAATTAACAGTTAATAATGTCAATTATTTTTAAAGCAATAATTCAAAGAACCTAAATATAAATATAAATGTACAATAGGCTACATGGTATTTCATTTCAATCCCACACCTTCTAAGCAACTAACTGTCTCCCTTTAGAGTCTGCAGTGTGCTACTGTTTACTACTTCTAAGTTAAATAACATTTAATAATTACCTTTTGCTATTGATACTGAAATAAGATATTGAAATAAGATATGTGTGTCTACAGTATGTATATGTGAGTACTTTGTTACTGTGCGCCTGCAAAATCACTTCAGACTTATGGTGACCCTAAGGCAAATCTATTATGGGGTTTTCTTGGAAAGATTTGTTCAGAGCAACGTTGCCATTGCCTTCCTCTGAGACTGAGAGACATAATATATGTGTACATGTGAAAGTGCCATTGATTTGACATCTGAAGATGTAGTAGGCATGTAGAAGAGATATTAGTGAAGGCTTGTGTCAATTTTTCTGCCTATATGTGATAGTCCCTGATTCTCCCCGATTGTTGCTCCTCGTATTGTATCCCAAGCATTTCCTAACAGTTTCCTGGGCAGAAGGAGGCAGTGAATTCCAGTGCATGCCATCTGACTGTATGCCTTAGGAATTTGAGTTGTGTGAGCTGTGCTAAACTTCTGCACCCCTTTGGATCTTGTGGAACTGATAAATCACCTCCAGGTTTTGTTCTGCATTCAAACAATTATTCATGGGAAATTTTGTATCCTTTTTGCTTCTCATGATGATGTACTACCTATATGAAATGAATGTATACATGCCATCTGACTTAGAGGTTCACATAATCTTTGACTGTTGAAACCAGAATCTTAATCCAAAACAAAAAGTAAAAAATGATGTTGGTGTCTGGTTTATGAGGATAAGGGTAAAAGAGGGGGTGGGATATGAAAGGATATGTTAAATATAGAGTCAAGAAACCCGTCCTGTTCCTTCCCCTCTGTCTTATATCGACATCCCCCTTGCTTTCCTTCATATCTATAACATATAAATTATAAACATAAGCACTGGCCCCAAGGGACCATCATTTTCCTTGAACTTCCTTGCAGCTGTGGTCCTGTTCCTGTCTGACTCTCCCTTTCACTAGATAGGAAAACTTTGCAATATGGCATTCACTTTGAAGAGATACGTATGTAAATATGTGATTAGATCGGCAAAATGTGTTTCAGTGAGCATGGTGGCATTTATTTTGTTTTTTATATTTAAAAACAATAACACGGTAGGCTGTCCATTGGCATTTAGTCTGAAAGTACAGTTCAGACTAACTGCAATTAACATAATGGACCCTGGTACAGGAGGGAGTTCAAGTACATCTCAAGTTTAAGTTAGGAAGGGGTTTAGACCCCTCCCAGAAATGAATCGGCAAAATTGGACCATCAAGACTCTCAAGTAACTGTGGCTTCTCGTGATTTTCAACCATGGATGTACTAAATGATCATGATTTTGCTATTGCTTTCAAGGCGCTCGTAGTGTTACCAACTTCATTCAGATGTTGGTGGTGACATTTGTTTTATGTACTGAGTTTTCATTGTAAAAACATATTTTCAAGTAGTCAACATTAATAATGAATTGCCTGGTGAGGCTGAGCCCCTGCTCACAAGTCTTAAAACAATTATGAGCTCTCTAAATTTAGGTTATGAACAAAGTGGTCTGTGTGCATTAAAATCAGACGACTCTAACACTGGATAGAACAAGGAAGTCTCTTCAGGCAGCAGATGATGTGTTGGGGCAGCCATGAGGTATTGGAAGGGAGTGTTTTTATGCCATGCAGTGTGCCCTGCACCCTTTAACTCAGTGGTTCCCAACCTGTGGTCCGTAGACCACCAGTGGTCCGCAAGAATGAAAATATGGTCTGCGGCCTCACCATTACTACACCATTGCCTCTTGCAAAACTCTCTTATAGTGCCGAGGCAACAGGGATGTTGGGAGGGAAGAAGCTGACTACCCATGAAAGCTTACTACTACCACATCAGCTCTAAATGAATAAATATGCTTATCTGTGGGTAAGCAGATGGAGACTACAAAATGGCATATGTTCTGTATCAGAAACTAGAGCTGATGTGGTCTATCCAATGCAATTTTCTGAATCAGCACCCCAAATAACCAAACTGAATCAAAAGTTGACCAAAAACTGATTTGTAACCCTTTTGGTACTAATGTTGGAAAGTGGTCCATGGTCAAAGTGGTCCCTGGCCAGAATGGTCTCTGGTCAAAAAAAGGTTGGGAACCACTGTTTTAACTAAATCTGTCTTGGAGTAAGATTCAACTACTAGTTGGAATCTCTTTGTAGACTGAAAAGTCCCCACAGGCCATCACAGTTCTTTTGTCTGGCCTGATCTAATCTATTATTCCATGTTCGACAGGGGCCATTCAGTTGGCTCCAGGACAGAGCATATGGAAAGATTACTTTCTAGATTATGTTGCTTAGAGACCCGCAGCCATCATGGTTACTTTATCTTTACAGAATTCTTCTTTGGAAAGTCACATAAAATTGAGGGATGAGAAAAATGATCCATCTGTATTCTTTTGTTTTGTATGCTCCCGGATTTAAAATTAGTGAAATATAGCCCACAGCACTTGGTGGTCTCTCATCCAAGTACTAATCAGGTCTGGTCTTACTTAGCTTCCAAGATGAGATAGGACTGGATGCCTTCAGAGTATTTTGGCCCTTCTGTCCGATGAACATTTATTTATGGAAGTCTCTTCAGTCTGAACAACACCTTGTCATAGTTTATGGTGGACTGCTTATTGAGAAATATTAATGGAAAGACCTATTTTGAAAATTGTCCATCTATTTGGCAGGGCTTTGGACAAATAAAAAACTCATATTGTTCTGAACTTTTCTTCAATCCATAAATATATAAATGCTCTGTTCGTTTGTAGTGATATGATAACTTAATTGCCACCAAATTTGGCCAAAAGACAAGTACTAACCTAAGGAGTGACCAACACTAAAAAAATTTGACAATTTGTCATTTGGGAGTTGTAGTTGCTGGGATTTATAGTTTACCTATCAGCAAGCAGCATTCTAAACTCCACCAACAATGGAATTGAACCAAACTTGGCATACAGGACTCCCATGACCAACAAAAACATCAGAAGGGTTTGGTGGGCATTGACCTTGAGTTTTGGAGCTATAGTTCACCTACATCCTGAGAGCACTATGGACTCAAACAATGAAGGATCTAAACCAAACTTGGCACAAATACTCCATATGCCCAAATATGAACACAGCTGGAGTTTGGAGAAAACAGATCTTGACATTTGGAAGTTGTAGTTACTAGGATTTATAGTTCACCTACAATCAAAGAGCATTCTGAACGATAGAATTGGGCAAAACCTCCCACACAGAACCCCCATGACCAACAGAAATACTGTGTTTTCTGGTGGTCTTTGACAACACTTCTGACACCCCCTCATGACCTCCCCAGGGGTCCTGACCACAGATTGAGAAATGCTGCCTTAAGGCCTTCCAGTCCAACTCCCTTCACCAGGGCAAGAAAACATAATCAAAGCCCTCCTGACAAAGAGCCATTCATACATATATATAGATATACTAAATATGATTCACACACAACACACATATATATGCATATGACATATATAATATCATAGATTTGAAATGGACCCCAAAAGAAGGACAATTATATGTTGCATATTCCAGAGTAGGCAAACCAAACAATCCCTATATCAACACTGACAAACCACAAGAAATACTGTTTACCCACAAGCATAAATAAATTAGATATATTAGAAACCAACACTTTCTCATTACTTTATTTTCCAAATAACCAGACTGGGCCATAGCAACATGTGGCAGGGGACGGCTAGTGTACTATAAAAGTTTAATGGAGATGTGGGTATGGAAGTACTCACATGACCAAATGATTTCATATAAATACCTACATTTACTTCAATGACTGTTATTCTCAGTGGATTAATTGGCAGAAACTATAACTTTTTTTAAAAAAAAAGGAAAAACCTTAAAAGTAGCTACGACAATTCTGAAAGTAGTTCACACCTGGCGCAAAAGAAACAACCAGACTGCAAATGATTTTTCATGAACTAATTTCTGAAAACAATTCACTGCTTCCATATAGAAGAAACATCAGCCATGTCATCCAAAACTATTTTAGAAGACAGAATTACCTAGCTCTCAATTTTATTGCAACCAAATAACAGAAAATTACACTGTCGTAGGAAACAAAACAGACTTATGTGAAAGTTGCTATCCTTTAGTTGCTAAGCTATAAAGAAACAAAGCAAGCAATGTCTTACCATCTATAGCCATCCAAATGATAGAAAAAATGCATGCACAATACAAAAAGAAAAAAGAAATACAAGCAGAAAGAACTGTTACAGCGACTAAAGTAACTTCAGGTGGGGGGGGGGGGAGATGATGGGTGACTATATGAGTTCCTTAGAAGAATACTCATTGAAAAGAACTAGAAATAAGACTAGAGAATATCCTCGTTTGATATTCAGTCTAAATATTTTCTCACACTAGGTGGATTAAATGGTGTATTATTAATATTTTGATATTTTTTTTAATGTTTATGTATTGTATGTGAATTTGTGTCCCGGCATTGAATGTTTGCCATGTATATGCTGTGCTCTGCCCTGAGTCCCCTTTGGGATGAAAAGGGCGGAATATAAATGTTTTAAATAAATAAATAAATAAACATCTGTGGACAAGCTTATGAACTACCTTGGCCAGGACCAAGGAGAGTCCGAGTATGGCCCTCTGTCTCTCCAAAACTCCTTTCTGGAGTATCATTTCATAATGTAGTTTTTACAACTGGAGTTCTTATGGAGATAACAGCAGATCCCACCTCACCAAAATCTTCCTCCCAATAAAGAAATAGGAAGAAGGTAATCCCTAAAAGTGATCAGAAGTAGCAAGGGGATTTTCTCCACATGCATATCCTCACCCATCAAGATAGCAAGTGACACTGGAATTGATTTTCTTACTGTAGAGGGAAAGCATTTCTCTGCTTGTTGGAAATGTGTATTCAAAGAAGGGAACCAGATGTCAACAGACAGTGTAAAGCTTCATCCCTGATGTCATCCAAACCACCGGATTGCTCCTGGAGGCAACACAGCTAATTGGACCAGAACTGATTCCCATTCTAGCTCTAAACCATCAGTTCTAAAACATTTCCCCCATGCATTAGTTAAACGCACTTCTAGAAAGAGGTGAACCTTGTCTAAGCAAACTACAAAATACTTCCAAGTCAGTTAACATCTAGATCTTGGAAATAATATCTAATTTTATTAGAAATAAATATTAAAAACATATGCGATTTTCAATTAGGAAATATTATATTAATCACAGGATTGAGCTTCCATAATGCAGGGATCAAGAATGGATTATTCTGATATAAAGAGGACACTATCTAGGTAAAGTATTTATAATTTAACTTCATTCACTATTTCCCCACATTCCCTTAGGCCTTCCTTTCAAGACAAGAATACCCTTTCAGCATAAAAATAGTTTTACTATACACATCTTTATGTCTAATCTTAATCCAAAAATGTAAAAATCCACCTCTAAATCAGATCCATTACAGTTAAACAAGGCCCTGAGAAATGAAGTCCAAAGTTCTCTCAATTCTAACCTTGCTGCTCTTCCAGATCCATGTCAACCTGACGTATTCCTTCATTGATTTGATCAATCTTTTCTTTTATCTCGGTCAACCTACAGGAATGCAAAAACAGGATGTTCAAAATTTACTGTACAATGTTTTCAGCCATTTTTCTTTAAAGTAACAGAATATGAAAGGGAGTGAAATAGATAAATGGTTTAATTAATATAACATTAAAGTTTGTATATAACTGTTCGTTAATATTCCAGAATGGATTTTGTTTAGTTGTAACTATATGCGTTTTTGTGAGGGAGAGTAATTTTGTTTTGCTCATATTGTTGAATAGGTCCCTCTGCTGGTTGATAAAAAGATTACACTTGAATTTAAAAAACCAAATTAGTAACACATTTTTCAAAAGTAACCTAGATGACATAAACAAATGAGATGTACTGCGTTATATTTGAGAAACATTTCCTTTCTTTATTTCTCTCAACTATGGCATTCAGAAAGATAGTCATTTTTGAAGAACCATCCACTGAGGCATCATCACCTTCTCAAACTTTCACTTAACTGTAGTGAAATGAATAACTATTTACATGGGACTCACACTTGGAAAAGCCTGGAGAGTTAATGATGTTCTTTGGAGTTTAAAAGCTACCCTGATCTTTGTATGTGAAGTCATCAGATATCACAGTTCCAACGGTATTCTTATAACAAAAGATATGGAATCACAGAATTGAAAGAGGCCATGAGGGTCATCTTGTCCAATCCCCTTCTGCTATTCAGGAACACACAATCAAAGCACTCCGGACACATGGCCATCCAACCTCTTCTTAAAAACCTCCAGAGAAGGAGACTCCACCACACTCTGAGGCAGAATATCTTATTACTGAACAGTTCTTTCCATCAGAACGTTCCTCCTAATATTAAGGTGGAATCTCTTTTCCTGCAATGTGAATCCATTGCTCTGTATCCTAGTCTCCAGAATAGCTGAAAACAAGCTTGCCCCCTCCTCAATGTGACATCCTTTCAGATTTTTAAACATGGCTATCATGTCTCATTTCAGCCTTTTTTCTCTCCAAGCTAAGCATACCCAGCTCGATCAGTTGCTCCTCATGGGGTTCGTTTCCAAACCACTGATCATTTTGATTGCTATTCTCTGGACATGTTCCAGCTAGTTAATATTCTTCTTAAATTGTGGTGCCCAGAATTGGTCATAGTATTTATTCCAGGTAAGGTCTCAGCAGAGCAGAATAGTGGGACTATAACTTCCCTCAATTTAAACACTATATTTCTATTGAATGCAATGTAGAATCACTGGCTTTTTAGCTGCCGCATCACACTGTTGATGCATGTTTAGCTTGTGGTCTACTAAAACTCCTACATCCTTTTCACATGTTGTGTGCTCAAGTCAGGTGTCACTCATCCTGTATAGTTGCAATTCATTTTTATTGCCAAAGTATAGTGCTGTGTATTTCTTCCTGTTGAAATTACACATATACCAGAATGTTTAAGGAAGCAGCCTAGATGACTGAAATACTTAGTCTTGCAGCAAAATGGCATTCATCTATAGCAGTAGTTCCCAACTTTTTTTGAGCCAGGGACCACTTTGACCAGGGATCACTCTCCAATACTAGCACCAAAAGAGTTACGAATCAGTTTTTGGTCAACTTTAGATTTGGTTTGATTATTTGGGGGGCTGATACAGAAAATTGCATTGGATAGACCACATCCGCTCTAGTTTCTGATACAGAACATATGCCATCTGGTAGTTGCCATCTGTTCGCCATCCCTCACAAAAATTAAAACCATATTGAATAAGCCTTGGCACTATAATAGGGTTTCGTGAGACCAGTTGATTTTGTTGCAACAGTGTAGTAATGGTGAGGCCGCGGACCATATTTTAGTTCTTGTGGATCACTGGTAGTTCATGGAGCACAGGTTGGGAACTACTGATCTACAGAGAGCTTTTGCAACACCCAAGGTAACAATATAGAAAAAAAAACTTACTGTCTCTCCATGCTTGCTATTTCTTGATTGTCTTCCTTCACCTAAAAAAAAAAATCAATTAATTGACAATAAATTAAAGAACCCTGAAACTAGCTTGGCTCCGCTTAATGAAACGGCATGCTTCGATCATATCCACCCGCATAGTGACTCGAGTCTAATGTGCACCTCAATTATTGAAAACCTGAAACTACAAAAAGTATTTGCTACTGAATTTAATGCGCAGCAGCAAAAAGTGCCCTCTTTGTAATTTGGCAAAAAAAATATGTGTGTATTACTGTTGCTGCCTGATGAGAATGCCAGCAATGGAAAAAAAACCTTAGGGTGCATCTATGCTGTAGAATGAATCCACTTTAATTGCCTTGGAATCTTTGGGGCTGTAGTTTGACAGGGCCTCGAGCCTTCTCTGCCAAAGAAAGCTTATGCCTCCTCAAACTACAAATCCCAGGATTGCATAGTATTGAGCCCTGGCCATTAAATTAGAGATGACATTCCTCAAAGATGAGTTGCAAATCCACCTCCTGAAGCAGCTTTCCCTTTTGCTTTGGCTCAGCACTAAGATTACTGTATGGTGCAAATCTAATGAGCATCCCAATTCTGGCAAGGTCATTTAGCAAAAAAAGATGAGAATTAGATTTGAGTAAATATGGTATTTTGAAATAACCATGCAGTTAGTAAGTCAATTCATCCAGGGTGACTTTCATGCACTGCTTTGATGAGAGAATAAGTGAAAGTCCTATTTGCTTCTGTGTCAGCAATTACCCTGCTCCATTTGCCATGACTATTATAAGTTGGAAACTTAAAGTGGGAAAGGACATTGAAGAACTGTATTTTTAATTTTTCAGATAATCCTTATTTAGCGACACTTATATGGGTAAAAGTTCCAATTCAGCAACATCAGTTTTCTCCCCTACCTGTTTTAATAACCTCTCTCTTTCTTCTTGGGGAGATCCCATATTTTTATCTTCCAAAATCATTTGATTCCGATGTTCTTCGAGACCATGAAGCTTTTCATACAGTTGTAGAGCCTCTTGTTTAACCTGGGAATGTGCTATTTCCTGAAGAGAAACATATTGGAAAATGTCAATTCTACATGTATAAAACATTTCATCAGTTATTCCCGTATTATTGACTAATCTTTTGGGAAAAGGCACAAGTGTCAGCTGTGGGTGTATCCTGCAAAACTGAGAAGCCATAGCCGAAAAGGAAACAGGGATCCAAGCTTAAATTAGAAGAATCCCTTTACAATTTTCTTTCGTATATACATGCTGTGATTGAGATATATATATATATATATATATATAGGTAAACACTTCCCCTGACATTAGGTCTTGTGTCTGACTCTGAGGGTTGGTGCTCATCTCCATCTCTAAGCCAAAGCATCAGCGTTGTCCATAGACACCTCCAAGGTCATGTGGCCAGCATGACTGCATGGAGCACTGTTATCTTTCCACCAAGGCGGTACCTATTGATCTACTCACATTTGCATGTTTTCGAACTGCTAGGTTGGCAGAAGCTGGGCCTAACAGCAGCTCACCCTGCTCCCCGGATTTGAACCGCCAACTTTTCAGTTATCAAGTTAAAAAATATCTTTTGAAGTTTTGTGGTTGTTTCATTTTACTATTATGCATAGAAAAAGCAACTCTGCTGGGACCTGGAGTATTTGTGCTCTTTCCTTGCTGGCTACAGACTATACTCCACACTGTTGCTAAAAGGTTGTGGCAAAGAACATTGGCACATTTTAGCAACAGAGAGTGAAAATGGTTTAAAACAAGCATTTTGAAATCATTGGTGTTGATTCGCTACCACATTTTCCCCATTCCTTGTCTATGTTATTGAGTTGTTCATTAATACTTAGCAGTCAGCAAAAAAGAATAGAATAGAATGAAATAATGGCATAGGATTTAGCCATGTTTTATAAAAGTGCCAAAATACTCAAGATAGATTTTTACCCATCAGATACCAATATCTCCTCCATTTTCATAGATTTCATAATCAAATTGAAAACATAAGACTTTAATGCCATACATACCCCTTCTAAAGCTTGTTCTTTCATATTCAAAGCATCCAGTTCTTGCTGTAAAGCAGATAATTCCTAAGAAAAAAGATTAAAATTATATCCAAAGTTAATAAAAGCTATCACATATAAACGTAAAACAAAAAGGAAAGAAAAGTATTTGCGAACTGGGTCCTTTTCAGATAGCTCAGCCAAGACCACACTACCCTACAAAAAAGCTGATCAGATTTGCACCCCATTTTTAATGAAAATCCTGCCTATTGAAATAAGAAGCCTTTGGAGATATCTGCCTTTGAAGAAGATAAGTAAATGTAAGTGAGGACTGGGAATAAGGACTCTTTTGGTGTACTTCCTAGAATGCTGGGTTGTCCTGAATAACCTTGGCAACCTTCTCTGCTTGTTCTGCCTTACTGGATTCTTGGAGAGAAAAAATAATGAAGAATCTTTGCAGGAAACATCTAGGAACATAAGAAATAAAATCTGTGGTTCAGCTGTAAAGCTAGATCCTTCTCCTGTTCCAGCAGCCCACATGGGAACCATGAAGGCAGTGGTTCTCAACCTGTGGGTCCCCAGGTGTTTCAGCCTAAAACTCCCAGAAATCCCAGCCAGTTGCCAGCTATTAGGATTTCTGGGAGTTGAAGGCCAAAACTTCTGGGGACCCACAGGTTGAGAACCACTGCATTAAGGAATCACAAAGCAAGCCTGAAGTGCCTTCCAACCTGACTGAACTAAATTTGTACCCTCCTGACTGTAACAGGACATCCACACTGATGATATCCAGTTGGTCATATCTCCTTGAAATCCATGAGATTAAAAACTGCTTAATTTGGTGGATGGGGACATTTTTGTTGACTTCCCTTTTCGAGATATCATGTAACTGTGTTGAATTTTGGCTCACTGAAGGAGCTTCTTTCAATTTCATGAAATGTTAAACCACGCTGGGACATCTCAAGATGTAATTCACACCATCCATATGAAAGTTCACCTGTAAAAGTTTTTCATTTGCCACTTTTGTCTCCATGTATTTCACTTGATCTTCTTCAGACATATTTTTGATGATGTTTTCTGCTGCCTGCTTTTCCTGCTGGATGTCATCTTCCACAGCCTGAATGAGCTTTTCTTTGCTGCAGCATAAGGACAGACAGTTTGTAAATCTGATTGAATATTACAGTTGTTTTAAATTCAAGACTCTGCTTTAATTCTGACACAGGCCTCTTAAAACAGTTGAAAGAAATGAAATCAGAATAGAGCAACAAAACAGAAACCATGTGTGACAAAGCATATAAAGACACAAAATGAAGATGGAATCAAAATAACCTTCTAAAAAAAGAAAGGTAAAGATAAAGGTTTCCACTTGACATTAAGTCTAATTGTGTCCAACTCTGGGGGGTGGTGCTCATCTCCATTTCTAAGCCAAAGAGCCGGCATTGTCTGTAGAAGCCTCCAAGGCCACGTGGCCAGCATGACTGCATGGAGTGCTGTTACCTTCTCACCTATTGATCTACTCACATTTGCATGTTTTCGAACTGCTAGGTTGGCAGAAGCTGGGGCTAACAGCAGGAGCTCACTCTGTCCCCAGATTCAAACTGCCGACCTTCCAGTCAGCAAGTTCTGAAGCTTAGTGGTTTAACCTGCTGTGCTACTGCAGCCCCAAAAATAAAGTATTTTAGACTAAATCCTTGCATAACAAGCATAATGTCTGCTTTGAGAAGCTTATTATAATTCCAACTGCTTCAGAGACACTTCCCAGAAAAACTAGTCAGTCAATTAGTTTATACAATAGCATAAGAGACATATGGATTTATCCACATGTCGCATTCCTCTTACCACTGCTGCTTTCAATCTTTGCACTTATATTAGTAACAGGATTGTTGAGACAAAAAAGGGAAGTCAGCTCAACATTCCCAGGGTGGAGAGCCGAAGTGAGAGAATTAAAGTACTTTTGGGGAAATATGCGTCACTTTAAGCTGACTTCAAACTGAAATGACAGGGACCTTTCGTCCCAAAAGGAGGAAAAAACCCAATTCCATTATTTGATTTCGTTCAAGTCATAAATGAACTACAACAAAAATCATCCCACCAATCTGTTTCATATTCTCAACATAATACTTTAAGGAAAATTATATAAGGGACACTATTTTACTACAATATTGTATATTTTAAGAGCTGAGCATCTACAGATTTTGGGATTTATGGGAAGCCTTGAATCAAATCCCACAGGATACCAAAGGCCTAATGTACTTCTGAACTTGCAACTATCAGTTATAAATGGAACATACAAAATGGGAGTTACAGCACATTAAAAACCCAGATTAAAAACCCACATGTTAAAACTAAAATTGCAAATACAATTTGGTTAAGTGTATAGTAGGTACAGCTGTCACCAATATACTTTATATACTTGTAGATCTTGTCTAGAAGTTGAAGCCAGGTTTGGGGACCAAAATTATGTATTTTGATATGACCCAAGGATAACAAGGGTCATTTTATCCATTCAGGCAAAAAGGCCAGAAGCAGCACCATGATGGAGAGATTAGAGGAGGACAGTGATTCTAATAGGTTTTTCCAGGACTTGTCTTTCACTTCCCAATTCAGAACCCTCCAAAAAGGGTTCCTTTTAAAAAATAAACGTTAAGATACAGTAGTCATAATGACCTGTGGATAAGATGGCCCAGAGTCAATGGAATGTAGATGAAAAAATATATTCAGAATGAATGCTATATTCACATATATGCACATGCCATTTGCCATTTATTTTGCACTCTGCATTCGGCAAGACACGTTTGCACAAAATTACTAAAAACATGGTGGGAACTGGGTAACAGGTGTGATTCGAACCAACATCCTAAATACAGCCACTGCTTGTGTGGTCAGGGCTAGAATGAGCAAACATCAACCAGAAGGCACTTTATATGTTTTTTGTTTTGAATAAGCCACTGAGAACAGTAGGTACCTTTAAGACGGTAAAACACTGGAGATTATTGAAAGGGGAAACATTCTGATGACAAAAGAAAAGCATTTCCTTATACAGTTCACACCCTCATGATCTAGTCAATTCACTCTTGGTAGCTGCTGAAACATTTTGCCCTGAACTTTGATCAAAAGTTAAGCCTATCCATTCTACTGTATGCAGGTAGGTTAGGTTTTATATTGTGATGAGGCTGATGTTTTTTATTGGCATCGGTAACTTTGTTGGCGTAACTGTATCCCAAAGGAAATAAATGTTGTACCTTAGTAACTTGTATCTATTATGCATGCTGCTTTAATGGAAACTTTAAAAGTAGTTTACTATGCTCTCTACCCACCCACTATCTCAACTTTGATTATGTCTGATTGACTGAAAGCCTATTAAATCATAGACAGACATAAGATATTACCCAGCCTAGTCAATCTTTTGCTAAAGCCATCATGCACTTTCTTATTTTAAACCACCTGATGGGTAATTGGGTACAAAGGTTAAAAAACAAGGAAACCCGCAGTACACTTTTAATCCCTTTATTTTCTACAGGAAACACACAAATAAGGAGTTGGTTTCCCAGAGGAAAAGTAAGGTAAGAACTTTTGTAAACTGACGATATCTTGTTTCATAATCCAGTTATATTGAAATTAGATTAAATAGGCTTGAATCCTGTTGGTTAGCCCAAAATAAAGAAGAGATTGTGAAACACTTTTTAAATAGTGAGTTAGCACAATCGTAAGTCCCAGTGATTCAATGGATCTATTCTGGTGGGAAGCAGGAATAAAAATCCAATCCTTATATTCTTTAATAAAATTGGGGAAATCTGTGGTGCTATTTCCTACCTTATGGTGCTATTTCCTACCTTAGGTTTTACAATAAATTGAGTTTTGCATCTTTCTTAAATAATCTAACAAAATCTGAAACTGAAGAATTTTTTACTTGATTTTTCAAAACTGTTAGATTTTTTAGGAATAATCCTACTGAAATCTGGGTTTTTGTCTGTTTCCAATCTACTCTTGTTACCAGTGTTTGACTTCTATGCCTATGAGATTTGTTACATTTTCTCAATAAAGCAGGGCCACATTAACCTTACTACTACAACGAGGCAAAAGAACATAGGAAGTCATGTTGGATGAGTCCAAAGGTAGTCTAGGCCAGCATTTTGTTCAATGTCCAACAAATTGCCTAATGAAAATTCACAACATGAATGAAACGGTGGCCAGAAAACAATATTTTCAATCAGCTTGATACAATGGTCAGATGAGGGAAGGTGTAATAGCATCTCTTGTAATGAACAGATTTTTATCTGTGGATCACCTGAAATTGAGGATATAACACACATATTATTTGATTGTAAATTGTATCAGAAGGTGACAGACTTGTACCTTGCTCCATATATCAAACTGTCAATTTATTGGGAATCTCACACCAGAATTACCTATTTTATGTGTGGCCATGACCCAAAAATAACACATACAATAGCTCTGTATTTAAACAAAGCAATACGTCTGAGATACACATATGTGGGACTGATTGGAGTAAACTGTAGGGGAGATAGGGAAATACGATATATGTATTCAGTTTTATCATACTTATTGACTGTATTATTATAAGTGTCTTATTTAACTTACTACATAGAGTTTTATTATGTTTATCAAGCTTTGTTATTTGGTTCGGTATGGTGATATGGCCTAAGGGCTAATCAACAAAATTTATTTGATATTTTCAATCATGTATAAGAGCCTGCTCTTTGATCACTGAAGATTAAGAAATACACCCATCAAGAAAGAAAGAAAGAAAGAAAGAAAGAAAGAAAGAAAGAAAGAGGAAAGGAGGGGAAGGGAAGAATGGAAAGGAAAGGAAATAGAAACACATTAAAGAAACAATTTCTGTGACTATATTTGATATTAGAAACCAAACATTTCATCTAAACATTAGTCAAAACTTAGTTACTATAAGATTTGTCCAACAGTGGATGGACTACATTGGCAGGTGGTGCTGAAGTCTTTAAATGGAGATTCAATCTGAATGTTTTACAAATCCGGTATCATTGTATTTCTGAATGATAGTGGGTTGAAACTGATGGCTCTATTGGCTTTCTAATTCCAAGATTTTATGAGTCTATGTAACACATAGAAACTCTCAGCAGGATTAATAGAAAACAAGAAAATTTACATAAAGCATTGGTTTTGTGCCGTTAGTTTATATCGATTCCAGTGTAAAACAAGAGAGAGACCCATGAGTGGTGCGAAGGAACACCTGACTTGGAACCTTGGAGGGGAGCACATTCCAGCACACCCAAAATAATTTCCCTTTCTAATCTTCTGAAGCCTCCCAAAATAAATGCATACTGGTGGGCTAATCTTGTTGTGTGTGTTTTTTTCTAAACTACTGCCATGTTCTGAAAGCATACTGCTTCTGGAGATGAAATGGGTTTTGTACAACCTGTTGATTGTTGTTTTTTTTCCGTGTCAAAGGCATTGCACAAAAAACCCATAAAAAGCTTTTGGGTTGGAAAGATTAGCCATTTACAAGAAACGTTGCCCAGGGCACACCTAACTGTATTTACCCAGTCTTTGAGGAGGCTCTTTCTGAATACTTTCTCAATACACTTTCTTTTGCTACACCCTTTTGAATCACAAATCTAATAACGGGGAAGTCCACAAAAATGTTACACTTCCTAAGCAGATCTGCATCATAATTTGAGGCCAGGGCACAAGAGTGGCATGGCAAGATGTAATTGTTTTAAATTAGAAAGATTTAAGTTTTTAAAGTAATACCAGTTAGCAAATGGCACTGCTTGTCTAGAGAATTGATAGACTTCCGTAAATATTTTATGAACATGTTATAAGCACAAGCCTGAATGTTTTGGCTGTTTCGATGGAATTTATTTTCACAGAGTGCAGTGCATAAGGGAATGATTTGGAAAGGATTGCATTCTGCCAATGTGATTGATTTCTATCCTACTGGAGGTAGTAATTCTGTATGAGCAGTATCAAAATTACCCTGGACTAGAGAGTCATGAAGCATGAGTCAATGTGTCCGCCATTCGTTGCAACAGTACAATTTCACTTGAGTCATTCTGATGATTTGCAGTACAGATAATTTTGGAGGATTACATTAAATAACAACACTACCTATGTTTTGCAGTATATTAATTAATTATTGGATCTTTCAAATGACCTTTCTGTAATTCTCTCCTTTGCAATAAATTATCTGTTTTAAATCTGAGTTGCTGTGAGTTTTCTGGCTGTATGGCCATGTTTCAGAAGCATTCTCTCCTGACGTTTCTCACCCACATCTATGGCAGGTATCCTCAGAGGTTGTGAGGTCTGTTAGAAACTAGGCAAGTGAGGTTTATATATCTGTAGAATGTCCAGGGTGGGAAAAAAGAACTCTTGTCTGCTTGGGGCATGTGTGAATGTTGCAACTGGCCATCTTGATTAGCATTTAATGGCCTTGCAGCTTCAAAGACTGGCTGCTTCCTGCTTGGCGTAATCCTTTGTTAGGGGGTATTAGCTGGCCTTGATTGTTTCATGTCTGGAATTCCCCTGTTTTTTTAGTGTTGTTCTTTATTTACTGTCTTGATTTTAGACTTTTTAAATACTGGTGGCCAGATTTTGTTCATTTTCAGGTTTCCCTCCTTTCTGTTGAAATTGTCCACATGCTTGTGGATTTCAGTGTCTTCTCTGTGTAGTCTGACATAGTAGTTGTTAGAGTGTTCCAGCATTTCTGTGTTCTCAAGTAAATAAAGAGCAACACTCAAACAGGGAATTCCAGACATGAAACCATCAAGGCCAGCTAACATCTTCTAACAAAGGATTTCCCCAGGCAGGTAGCAGCCAGGCTTTGAAGCCATGAGGCCATTTAATGCTAATCAAGGTGACCTAATTACAACATTCACACCTGCCTCAAGTAGAGAAGAGATCTTTTTCCCACCCTGGACATTCCACAGGTATAAATACCTCACTTGCCTAGTTTCCATACAGCCTGAAAAACTCACAGCAACCCAATGATTCCGGCCAAGAAAGCCTTTGACAACATATTTTAAATCTGTTTTCCTCTACTGTACACATCCAAGACACACATTAACTAGTTGAAACCAAGAAGTGTGGGCAGTCATATCCCTCTGAAATAGCACAGTATGCAGCCATTAGTACTTCACAGGGATGACTACCTTATATAAAGAATTCAATATATAAGGAAATTGGCAAAATGCATGTTCTCATGCTTAAAAACAATGGCCCCACTGTCCAGTTTTGAACTAACATCAAAAGATGTGTACATGCCAGGCTCAGTTACATTATGAAGGTTTTTAAGCTGTTTTAGATGGCAGTTTCTTTTCCAATGGATCTCAGGCCAAAGAATCAAACTTTTAAATTCTTTTAAAATTTCAATAAGATTTTGCAATGGGGGAATGGGGGCTGACCAAAGTAAATCAGTACAGCAATGCCATCTCTTTTGTGCTTAAAAAGCATTACTTAAGATTGTGCCCCCACAACTTTTAAAGTCTCGGAACACAATGTGACATTATCTTTTGTATATTCACAAGATGCCCGTATAATGACAAGATTGTACTCTGAGGTATCTTTGCAGCATGAACTATACATAATTCAAATTTTATTGGTTGTATCGATTGAAACAAATGAAACTGTTGATTCATTTGGCATTGTAGTCCAACTCTGATAGTCTTTAAGACCACAATGGTCTGTTCTAATTGACAAAATAGACGAAGACAACAGATATGGCATTTTGAACCAGGCTTTCCACATGGTTAAAGTGATACAATGACATCATTCAGAATTGCTGTTCCGGGAGGGTGGGGGGAATGGGGGGGGGAGGGTGTGGGTGATAGGTGATAAATATCTAAGGAATGTATAAAGTGTCATTGAAGGAATATTTACTTTTGGAATAATGTATACTGAAATAAGTCTTGTATGGCAAAAAAAAAATTAATTGTGGGAATGTATCAAATAAAATTTATAATAAAAAAGAGAGAGACCACAATATGCCCTAGACAAAAGCATGGGTAAACAATTGCTTTGACTACCTATTTGTTATTATACTGACTCTGAATGTCTGCTAATATTCAATTGAAAACATGTATCTAATATTCCAAATTGGCAGATTTCGAACATGAAGCTTCCTTGGGTCTTGATACTGAACACAGCTCTTTTTGTACACACAATTGCTACTGAAAGTAAAAATATTTATCCAACGGTAAGTTTAAGTCACATAGTAAGTAGGCTTTACTTACACAGTTAGAACTTCCCTTCTCTCCTCCCTAGCATGTATTCCAAACTGAGCGAACTCTTTGCCAAAAATAAATAAATGGCAAAGAATATGGAGCAAGAATAAACTGTATAAGGGGCAAAATTGGAAACAAACCCCAAAGTATATCAAGGAAGCCTCACTAGTGACTATCAACATAAAACGTGAGAACAAATTTAGCTACATGTCATAACAGGTTCAGGTAATTTGCCCCACTCACCTTCCCCATGTATCATTGTATTTCATGTTCTATTGCCTAATTTGTACCAACTTTGAGAGACAGTAGCCATTGGTCTTAGGCCCCTTCCACGCTGCYCCTATATCGATGCCTAGATCCAGAGCCATGTCTATAATCAAATAAAGTTGTGGCCTTTTTGTCCAAGTTATTGCATCTGTAAAGGGTGTTTTTGGGTGTGGTTTTATATGCGGAGTCATTTCAGATGTGGGCATATAATATAATCTCTTATTGTGTTGTAAGCCACTTTGGTTTCTTTTTAAATAGCAGGGTATTGAAGACAAGTATTAATCTAATTCTYGCATTATCCATGTGAAACCTTCTCAATCAAGTTTAAATAGCACAAGTGTGTGTGCGTGTGTGTGTGTGTGTGTGTGTGATACAGGGGGAAGGGATCACTTCTTACTCAGGGTCTTTCCAGACCAATCCTATATCCCAGGATCTGATCCCAGGTTTTCTGCTTTAAACTGGATTATATGAGTCCCCACTGCCAGATAATCTGGGATAAACAGAAAACCTGGGATCAGCTCCTGGGACCTGTCTGGAAGGACCCTCAGTTGCAGTCACATTCCATTTTCACTGGATTCTTCCCATTAAATGTGTATTTTTAGTAAAGGTTTTGTGATATTAAATAGTTACATGAAATGCATCCCCAATTTTCTATTCTACTTTCATGATTATTTCTCCCTCTTTATTTCACAGGTCAAGAGCATGAAATCTGCAAAATCCCCCTTTTCACTCCCTCCTGACCAAAACAAAAACATATCTGTGTTACATCTCAGTTACGGAAACATTACTCTAAATGAGAATGAAATAACATTCCTCCACAAACATATTGATACCATAGAACTATACTTGAGCAATAACAGCATTGCTATTCTACGTAATTGCAGCTTTGAAAGTCTTTCAAAACTAGCAATTATGGATCTCAGTAATAATTCTATTGCAATAGTAGAGCAAGCAGCATTTTCTGGTTTGAACAAACTAACAAAGTTGTATCTTCAGAATAATAAAATTGAACAAATAGAGCCTCATACTTTTGAATTACTTGGAAGCTTGAAGATATTGAATCTACAAAATAACCAGCTGGCCTATTTGGATATTAAAATACCACTTAGTTTAAACAGGATTACATTAAGTGCAAACCCATGGAATTGTTCATGTGGCCTCCTTAGATTGCAGAATTGGTTGAATAACACCAATGCAACCTTGGGTAAGTGTTAACCAATGCCTTGGACTTTGAAGTGGCTTCTTTATGTACACTTGATTTCTATTTGTGGGGTATTGCATAAACTTCAGTGGCATCCAACTGTAGAAATTTTCAATTTTCTCTTTTTGATATCAGTAGTCAAAATCTAAGAAGTGTTATCAATAAAAAAATTGCAAAGATAAGAGTGAGCAAATTCATGTACAATACAACGTAATCTCTTCTAAACACATCAGCTTGAACCTATAACAAAAATAGCTTGTTTTTAACTAACCAACTTGTTTTAATATGGATCAGTGAATTATACAAGACATGACAAACATGTAAAAAGAACAAACACCTGTAAACACTATCAAGAATCCTTCACACAGCATTGCAGGAGAGGAGCACATGAGCCTAAAGTATTGCTCAAGCTTGCTTCAGCTAATGCAGTGGTTCTCAACCTGTGGGTCCCAAGGTATTTTGGCCTACAACTCCAGACATCCCAGCCAGTTTACCAGCTGTTAGGATTTCTGGGAGTTGAAGGCCAAAACATCTGGGGACCCACAGGTTGAGAACCACTGAGCTAGTGCATATAGTGCTAAATCAGAGGTGAAAAACATTTCCTTCTTGATATTACTGGATTTTAGTTGTAAATGATGATGCTTTCTCAGTCTGACAACATCTGGAAGACCACGGGTGCATCTACACTGTATAATTCATGCAGTTTAATACTACTTTAATTGCCACCATTTAATGCTGTGAAATTATGATAATCATAATTTTCCAAGATCTTGATTCTTTAGTGTAGATTATCCCTATATGATTCCTATCCAAGTTCTGAATTATATTTAACTTCCTATATAGCACAGTCTGTTTAAAAAAAACCTATTGGTGCAATGGATTTGATGTGATTTTAAAAAGAGGGCTACACTATAAACTGTATGTAGACACTGGGTTCATTGTGGCTAATTGTATACGACAGACACTTTAGTAATGTTTGAAACTGCTTTTCAAATGGTTTATATTTACAGAAAATGAGAACAACACCATGTGCATTTCCCCAAAGAGTTTAAAAAATCATCCTATCAAAAGCGCATTTCTACCAAACTGCCAGAAAAGAGAGATAACTGAAGCAACTTCCTTATCTTCTGCTTCTACTGATTCAAGCAATGATACTGTATTGGCTGCATATAATGGTACTGATAAAAAGTCATTATCTTCAGGTACATTTCAGTTTAAGATGCTATTAACTGCTCATGTATTTTGCTACTGGAGCCATGATTTTGAGGAATAACCCTATGTAACAAAATTTGAAACAATTTATGTTCCTGGTTTGAAAGTGTTATATCTTGTTTAATTGTGCAGAATTTACTTCGAAAGTGGTTGTTATATCCCAGAAACTTTGTTTTTGTGGCTGCCACAAACTATGTTGAACTGGTTGAGACTCTGTGAGATATTCATTGAAAAACTAGAGCAAAATGTGCTGCAGGATGTCCCGCAGAAACAACGTTTTTCAAGTTTAATAAACTTTTCCCATGTTTTAATGATAGAACCAATTAGGAAATGACATTTATAATGTAGGAACAAAAATCGTGTTACACAGTGTAAATAGCATACGTTTTGAAGAAATGTCAGCAATTGTTTATGTCACTTATATTCGTTGTAAAAAATGACATTTCTTCAAAGAAAAGAGGTATTTGAGAAAATCCTTCTTTCAAAAAGAGTGAAAGCAGATTTTACACCTTTTTAGAAAAATATCTTCTGAAGGAAGAATTTGGAATCTTATATAAAATTTGCCAGGAGGCCACTCATTGTCTTTAGGGTACCACTGATTAGTTTGTGTGCCTTTACGCTGCCTATCAGCTTATGGCTACCCCATGAATGTCATAGGGTTTTCTTAGGTAAGGAATACCCAGAAATGGTTTTGTCATTTCCTTCCCATGAAATATAACATATAGCACCTAGTATATATTTATAGTCTTCCATCCTGGTACTAAACAAGGCTGACTGTATACTCTCACATAAATTAGTCATTTAAATGCTAAAAGTATCATAGTCTGAGATATATAATCAATATAATGTTTGATCTGGATTTTAAAACATGTCATCAACCAAAACTGTTATGTGACTTGCGAAAACTAAGAATAACTCATCATTGGGAATACTATACTGCAAGACACTGTATAGAGCAGGCCTGGGCAAACTCTAGCCCTCCAGGTTTTTGGACTTCAACTCCAACAATTCCTAACAGCAAGTAGGCTGTTAGGAATTGTCGGAGTTGAAGCCCAAAACACCCGGAGGGTTGAAGATTGCACATGCCTGGTACAAAGTGCATACTGTATATACACATATTGTCAAACTTCAGACTACCCAAGCTAATGCTGAGATTTTTAGTTGCTTGGAAATTCAGCTTGTTCTCTTAAACACATTTCTGCTACAACTTCAGAAGAGCCTCACTTCACAAAATTCATCCAGGATTTCACTGAATTTGAGGAATTATAAACATGCATCCCTGTCAATATTATTATCACTTTAACTACCATTGCTCAATGCTATGGTATCCTGCAAGATCTAGTTAAAAGGTCTTTAGCCTTCTCTGCCAAAAAGTGCTAGTGTCTCACTAAACTACAAATCCTAGGATTTCATAGCACTGGGCCATGACATCAAACTGCATTAATCCCACAGTGTAGCTGAACCCTGAACCAAGACATTGATGAATGCCCCTCAAAACCAGCACACTTTGCAGAGATGAGGGGAAAATAGCCAAAGATTACTGAAGTGTTTTTTGATTTCTTTTGACATACAGATTTTCGGCCTCCTGGAAAAAGCTGGACCTTTTTGATGGGTGTCCTAGTATTTATTGTTGGCACAACATTACTGATAGTTATTGTCATCAAGTCTCCAGCGTGGTACCGATATTTGATTAGCTATAATCACAGCCGACTGGATGAAGATGAACCTGAGATGTTTGAAGAAACATTCACAACTCATATTTCTGCACTCCCACAGATGCCAGATGTCAATGAACAAGAATCTGTAGTAGTTTACGAGCAATTTCATACATTTGTTCCCGAAGATGATGAATATATTGAAGACAAATATATTGATTCATGAATATTATAAATATGAACCTCACTCCTCTGTCATGAAAGATCAGCAGAGAGCTATTGTAGTTGTAGTTCTATAAACTATAGAGCTAAAACTAATTTACCCCAGCTTGTTTTTAATCAAAAAATTGATGCTTAAACACAGGCGTATGGTTTTCTTGTAAAGAAAAGCAACTACTCAGTGGCATGTTGTTGGAGTATATAGCTTTTGCATTTCAGTTAATACATTTTCTTTGAGTAGGAAAACATGCTGTTATGTATTTCAGCAGGAAAACATGTGTTCATTGTGCACAGTTAATCACATTACACAGGTCATCAAATATGTCTGCTTTAAGAGCTTAAAAAGTAACTATCAGTGATGGAAAAATGAAATCTCCCAGATTTGAACAGGGAACAATATTTAACTTTTTCAAGGTTTTAAAAAATAATTTTGTTTTTGTCATATTGTAAAAACACAATGTAAAAAAGTTCATATTTGTTTTCAAAATGTGTCTCCTTACAATGAATAAAGTAAACAAATGAATAAAGAATAAAGAACAAATATAAACAAGGGCCAGGAAGCAATACCACAACAACACAGGAAACACTTCTATGAAGTCTTTAGTTTTGAAATGTTAACTCAGCTACTTACTTTTGTCTTTCTGTAAATATAATGTCTATTCCTTGTGCTTCACGATCATTTTGTGCTTTCAGCTATTCAAATGACAAAAGCCATCAGTAAACAGGTATATTTCTAGTGAAAATGCAATTGTTGCCATTTCTGTTGTCATTTCTTTTATTCTAATATATTTGTTATTACAGCTTATAAACTATTAATCAGGCTGTGATAAATGAATATAAACCAGAAATCAGGGCAATTTCAAATATGTCTTGATGGAATGGCTGGTACAATAAGTAAGTAGTGCATGCAAACCACAAAATTTCTTTTTTAAATGAAGAAACTTATCTCTGCAGACCTTTATTTATTTATACTATGCCCTTGGTGGGTTTTTGGGAGAGCTTACAATAAAATAAATAAAAAAAACCCAACATTTGCATTAAGTTCACTGAAGTTAATGATATTTAAACCACCCATTATGTACGCAAACCCCTCTGATTTTAATGGAGCTATTTTAAATATGTCCCAAGTCTTGTTCGAATCAAAACACTCTATATGATATATTATCTACCTAAGTTCATACAACCCGGGTTCATAAAACTTCTAACTTTTTGTTATGTGTTTTCAAGTCCTTTCTAACTTATGACAACTCTAAGGCCCCTTCCATACAGCTGAATAAAACACCGTATTATCTGCTTTGAACTGGAATTTATGGTAGTGTGGACTCAGATGACCCAGTTGAAAGCAGATATTGTGGGATTTTCTGCCTTGATATTCTGGGTTATATGGCTGTGTGGAAGGCCCCCTATATAAACAAATTACAAGGTTTTCTGTGTCTCAGAGCATGTGACTCACCCAAGGTCACATAGTAAGTTTCTACAGCTGAGTGGGGATTCAAACACTGGTTGCCAGAGACGTAACCCAATGCTCAGTTAAGTGAATTCATATATTTCACAATGCATCAGAAGAATCTTTTCAATTTTCATTTCCATTTGGAGAGAAATAAATACTGCACTTCCTTTGGGTTGTTATCCGACGTTTGCAAGATTTGGGGGTTTTCATATTTCCTTGAAAAGATTTATAGGATGCTGTTTTCAAAATAGTATTTTACACAACTGTTCCATTCAAGGGGGAAAGCGGGTTCCCATTTTATGAGAATTAACTACATGTTTAAATGCCAGATCAATAATGTGTCGGAGCCTCCTCCTCCTCCCTCTTTCCCAATGCAGTCATCTGTGCTACTAGAAAATCTGCTCTGGAAGGTTTTCCAGCCCTGTAGAGCAAGTTTGAAGGATATATAGAATTACAGAGGGAAAGAAGAATTCTCTCTTTCCAGTTCAATTGAAAGAGTAGTTCAATCAATGAATAACATTATTGGATCCTTGGCCAAACATTCCTCTTCTATGGTGTTTTAATACAATCAATGGGAATTTGAAGTGGGAATCATACAGAAGCACTACTTAGCTAACAATAATCCAAAAATTCAAACAGTCATCAGTAGAGTAAAATAGTAATCTTAATACTTACCAGATTATAGTCACTCATTACTTCTTCCATATCGGTATTTGTGTTAAGTTTATCCACCAGCTAAAACAAAACAGAAATCCAATTAATTATTGGATAACAGCATAACTAGATAACAACAAACGATTGCAACGATTGCAAATGTGTGCATGTTAGAAATTGATTAGGGAAGCAATGAGCAAAAAACTATTTTAAAAAATCTATGTGAAGCTGAAGGCAGTATTTTTGATGCAGTCAATATATAAAAATTACCTATAAAAGAAAAACTTACCATATTGTAGTCTGCAAGTTGTCCCTGAAAGTCTTTAATCTCGCCAGCTAAAGATTCTGCTCTAAGAAGGGAGGAGGAGAAAACAAAATTACCAGATGGCTTCACATAAATTTTAAAAATGCAATTAAACAGGTTTAAGGTTTCAGTATTTGATGTTTTTGTTATGTGCCTTCAACTCAACTCTCATATATTGTGACTATCATGGGATTTTCTTGGCAAGATTATTCAGAGAATCATAATTTCATTTTCTACCCTAAATTTTCACCCAGGTTGAGACTCAAAAAAGGTTTACAGCAATTCTGCTATTTCCTTTCTTTACTGCTAGCTTACACTTTTTGTGGAAAAAGTGGTCATTTTGCCCAAGACTGAGTAGAAAATTACCATTGCTGAAAGAGGATTTGGATGTTCAAGTCCTAGTCCAACACTCAAACCCCATACTAGCTCACCAAAATTTTAATGCAATGAATACAAAAATGTGTGTGGCAAACCAATCATTTTAATGAAGACTATAATATTTATAAATTCTAGTTCACCATTTTATTAGACTCACCTTTTTTCATAGGAGAGATAGACAGAATTCTCCTGATTATACATATCCCTTTCTTTCTGAAGCTTATTAATTTCTGTAGTAAGCTCAGTTATTTTGCTTCTGTTGAAAAATAAGCAGATGATCACAGTAAGACACATATTTCAGTATTTACACAAACAATTGGCTTAATGAGTATCACATAATTGTACAAACAATATTACAAAAACAGTGGACAGACGTGCACCTCTAGATTTCATTTGCATGAGCTCCCACATTCCTTAATCAAGGGCCTTATTAGGAAGCTGGTGGGAGTTGGGATCCAACATTAGGAGGGTTACAGATTCCTCACCACTTTTCCAGAACAGGAGTTGGGCAAAAAGTGGCCAATAAGAAAAAAAAAAGATTATGAAGCTTGAAGAATATGGGTTTAATCATTCCTTCAGGAATTTTCTTCTTCGGGTCTTCCGTTTTTCAACGTGGTGATGGAGACACAACTCCAACTGTCTCAAAACATAAAAACTTAAAGCAAAGTCTGGAGATTTTGCATTTTGCTGCATTTCTGCAGGCTTGTAGTATGTACTAGCTGCAGGATTTGGCTCCCCTCCCCTTGTTGCCCTTCCTTTTTCTACAGCAGTGGTTCCAGAAATCCCAGCCAGTTTACCAGCTGTTGGGATTTCTGAGAGTTGAATGCCAAAACATCTGGGGACTCACAGGTTGAGAACCACTGGTTTACAACCTTCCCATCTTCATATGCTGTAATATGTTGGGATGTGTGTATCTCTATGACTGGGGAAAGGATATGCTTGCATATGAAAGATTGTGGAAGGGTGACATAATATGAGCGTAGAAGAAGAGCGAGGCAACTTATAGACAGTCCTTTCACAATGGAAAAAATTATCACTAAGTGTGCAGAAGTCATTGATACTATGTATGTGTTTAACTGTTAGAGTATATATTTGTGTTTGTAACAGTAGCTAAAACTAGAGTTATCTGGTTTGAATCCACAGTGAGCGTTGCCAAGGAGACCAGGCAGGCTAGCTCCCGAGAGTGAGAAGTGGGCAGAGCCAAGCAGGAAAAGTTATGTGCGTCTTTGGAAAAGGGGCAGTGTGTGTGTGTGTGTGTGTGTGTGAGTGTGGAGGCTTGAAAAGCCTGGGAGAGAGGTGTGTGAGCAGCGGGAGGTTTTTCCAGTCTAGAAGGGCTGAAGAGAGAAACCTGACCAGTTTCTTTAGTCAAGGAAGACTAAAGGAAGCTTGTTAAGATCCCTAGTCAAAGAAGGGCTAGAGATCAGAGATTTGATCAAGGAAAGATCAAATTGGAAGGCTATTCATAGTAGGAATGTTCACTAAAGAGCTTCACCTCAGTAAAAGTTAGCCACGAGCTGTGTTATTTGGAAGAGTGGACTGTATTACAAACCAAGTGATATTCAAAGTTCTATAAGTTATTTAACAGCTTGCAACCATACGCTTTGTACACAATAAACTTGTTATCTTTTGTTGAAGACCGTCTCATCTCAATTAATCTGCGTCTGTAAAGCCAGATCTCATCGGTGGTACCTCAAATACCTCACGTTGGTGGCAGTTCCCTTAATTTACAAGTAATAATTGGCCTCCTCTATAATATTTTCTTATACACAATTGAGGCCTGAGATTAATTCCCTCCATAATCATCCACACCTGTACAATTGGTTCGCGCATAACTGGACAATTGGTGACAGCGGTGGGGATCTCCAGATATAAAATCCCTATACCCTGTCCATCATTGTGTTCACAACAGGACAATAAGATTCTAGAGTCTTGGAGTACCATGCCTGGAAGGGAACTCTAAGTAGAGTTGGGTAGTTGGAACTGGGCCTCAACTCCTGGCCAGAACTTTCCCTACCAATGGGTTTTATATACAACTTTACCCTTACAACTTACAAAATATTTATACAACTGGAGGACTCCGCAGCATGCCTTCTTGAGTTGAATTCTATTCCTTAAGTTCTTTTTAAAACTTGAAAACATACATTTTAAAATAGTCATTATGGAGCTCTGAGCAAACGTTAAACACTCTATAGGAAGGCCAAACATCATCGGATGGCAGCTCTCATCAGCCAGTGGTGAGGAATGCTGAGAGTTATAGTCTGGAAGGCTTCACTTCATCTATCCCCTTCTATTATATTATTAGTTTTTATTTATACCATATGTCTTTGAGCAAAGACATAGGGTATGAATGAAATGGCCCTCTCCCTTGTTCCACCAAATGTGCTGAAGTGAATGGTGAGACAGAGAGGTTTTCCCCTAGAGGATTTCAGATTTCTAACAGACTTATGCAGTCCTTCAAATAACCTAGAACCAAGCCATACATGAATGCTGAAAGAAGTTATTACAGCCAAAATTATAACAGAAGCTGATTTTTATTTGTTGGTGATGCTGGATGATCAACTAGAAAGAAAACATGGAACAGGACAGCAATATATCATAACTGCTACAAGAAGAGACAGAAGAAACCAGTTATCTCAGTTCAAGAAGAATGGCGGCTGAAGATTTGTCAACTGTCTGAGATGGACAAACTGATGATGCTGGTTAAGGAGAAATCCCTAACTAACTTCAAGAAAGATTGGGACTTGTTTATCACTTTTTTTACATCAGTGATGAGAACAAAGGTCAGTTATTAGATTTATGAATTAGGGGAATAAAAGTAGAATTGTAGATATATGATGTTATCTAAAGATGTATAATGTCATCTAAAGAGAGTGGGAAAACAAGGAATAAAAATCAACAGGCAGTGAACGTGCAGTTTATAGAATAGTTCCAGTAACAGTTTGTCTAAAATGTCTTTATTAGTGTAGGTATGTTTTAGATTAGGGTGACTGTTTTAGTTATTTTGAATGTAGTAGTTTTAGTTTTATATATTATGAAAATATGCTTTTTTGTCTTTTCTATTTTTCTTCATTTCTTAATAGCATTAATAATAAAAATAATAAAATTCAACTTACATATTAATATATACAGTACATGTTAGGAAACAGGGGATGATGGATAGACTGCTGTGACATCTCACCCATCAACAGTACATACCTTGGTATCAGTAAACATTAGTATGGGCTAGGATAGAAATTTTTGCACAACCTGCCTCTTTCATACTGATAATACAAACACCAGTGACACTTACCTAAGCACACCCAGATAATAGGATTTATCCATAACTTGCCTCTGTGGCCCTAACAAAACAGATATCAAATTATTAAATACATGATAAGAAACATTGCATTATAACAAACTAAATCCAATGTCCTAACTAAAATAGATCAATTGAAATAAAGGGATCTTAAATTATGGTAGTAGACCAATATGTGGTTTCGTATCTTCAAATACCTTTGATTCCAGTTTTCATTCCACTGAGACCTTGCTGTGTCACTGGACGATCTGCAACTTTAATTTGAGAAGACAAAACTACCCCAGTTCCTATGGATGCACCCCGTGTACCAGGCCTTGCGGTGCCTGGAGGAATCTACAACAAAAAAAGAATCCATGTAAATATAATATCATAATTCCAAAGAAGATAGCATTTCAGCTACTCCTACATGTAGTCTATAATTTGGCAGGTTGAGGCCTTGATAGCCATGTCTTGTTTTACAAGGAACATTGTTTTTGGAGGATTTTCAGGAGAACCACTTCCTTACTTTGAACCTCAAACTCTCAGGGTTCACAAAAATGGACAAAGAGCCTCAAGCTGACCACGGGCCACATTTTACGTTATCTTTGAGGTAACAGGATCCCACAAAGTGGTCTTTTTAAATCAAAAGCAGCTTGAAGAACATATTTTTGAAAGGTGAATCTACTTGAAACTGTGTAGAAGCTAAAAGTTGCTTGCAGCTTGATTTGCTCTCAAACTGCTGAGAAAGAAGGAAGATCACATTTGACACAAGAGGGAAAAGGGTACATAGGTAAAGCAGCTGTCAACAGATGAACAAATCAGATTTTAGTTACTATTGTAAAACTGTCAGCTGAGAAACTGTCAGCTGTTTAGAGCAGAACCTATCATTTGTGTATCGTTTATCATATGCCATTTATTCTGTGAAGAAAAAGAAGAGGAGGAAGAGGAAAAGGAAAAAGGTGACAAACATCCATTATAGGGGAAAGAAAGCCAAACTTTGCAATGCTTTTTTATAAAAGGGGGGTAATATATGTAGCTTTTAACACATATTTTTCAGTCTTCAGGCAGAGTAGATCAGTTTGTGAAGAGGTTAACTTACTCCTCCACCAAGTAAAGCTGCAGATGGAGGTCGTAATGAAGATGAAGGTGGTCGAGTTCCCAGCCCTATTCCAGCTCTTGAAGACGGGCGTGCCGTAGGAGGCTTGTGATTGCTTGCCATTTTTAATTTTCTCTAAAGAAAAATAAATATATGTAACTTGTTACAGTATTCCGTATTTCTATGCTGAATGTAAAACTTTTCATTTCTATAGGATTTATTGTTTTACCTATTCTTTAAGGCAGGGGGCTGGATTGGATGGCCTCTTCCAACTATAAGGTTCTATTTGCTTTCTCTTTCATAATATTAATTAACAATTCGTTCAGTCAAAACATCTTAAAACTCAAGATTAAAAATTGCACACCGCTGTGCAATGAGAGCTCTCAACCTCTGGTATAAACTGCCCAATTCATTCTACACAGCTGTATAAAATCCAGATTATTTGCTTTGAGCTGGATTATGCGGCAGTGTATATAGATAATCCAAGGCAGATAATCTGGATTATCTGCCTTAATATACCAGATTATATGGCAGTGTAGAAGAACTCACAGATCCAAGAGGTTGGTCCTTTTAATTCTTTGTGTGTTAAGTGTGCTTTAAAGTCACCAATTGACTTCTGGCTACCTCATGAATTTCATAGGGCAGTGGTTCTCAAACTGTGGGTCCACAGATGTTTTGGTCTTGAACTCCTAGAAACCCTAACATCTGATAAACTGGCTGTAATTTCTGGGAGTCGTAGGCCAATACACCTGGGGACTCACAGGTTGAGAACCGCTATCTGAGGATTTTTCTAGGTAAAGAACACTCATTAACAGGTTTTGCCCCTTCCTTCCTCTAAGGCCCCTTCCACACAGCTAAATAAAATCCTACATTATTTGCTTTGAACTGGGTTATATGGCAGTGTAGACTCTGATAACCCACTTCAAAGTAGATATTCTGGATTATCTGCCTTGATATTCTGGGGGCTCTTCTAGACAGAATTATATGAGTCTGAATTATATGAGTCTGTATATAAACTGAATTATATGAGTCTGCACTGCCAGATAATCTGGGATAAACAGAAAACTTGGGATCAGATCCTGGGATATAGGGCCTGTCTGAAAGGGCCCAGGGTTATATGGCTGTGTGGATGGGCCCTGACATAAAGCCAACAGTACCTGGTGGTCTCTCATCTAAATACAATCCAGAGCTGACCTTCCTTATCTTTAAAGATTAGACAAGACCTGGCACCTTTAGGATACTTGGGCAATTAATTGTGGTTCTTGTGTGACTCCAGACTGTTTCAGACGTATGGTGACCATATCTTGGGTGTATGTGTGTGTGTGACTGGACCTGGCCAAGTGAGAATTTGAGCAAGGCTCTCCAGCTCAGCAATCTAATGCTTAAATCACTACAGTACACTGACTGTATTTAGTAGTAGCCTAACTACAGTTTGTTTTTTTAAAAGTGGGGTACAAATAAAATCTAAATACAATGGCAATGACATTAATAAAGCCCATTTTCTAATGCCGATGGTTGAAGAACACAATCTACCAGCAAGAATAACTGTTAGTCCTTTTCCAGACTTTCTAACTTTTGGATTTGGTGGTTGGGGGGGAGCATACAATTAAACTTGTGAAAGCCAGCATGGAGTACTGGTTTGAGCATTTATTTATTTACTTACTTTATTTGTATACCGCACTCTCTCAGCCCGTAGGCGACTCAGTGCGGTTTACAACCAGGTAATATACAAAGTGCACAACATAAGCATTAGCATTTAAACAGTAACTAAAGTAACTGGATCAATATAACAATACATCAATACATCAATATAACATCAATACATCCATATAACTAATCCATCACGTCTCATCAGTAAAGTCATAATCCGATTTCCTCGTCCATTATTCCAAGTTCCAAACTCAATCAATTGATTGCACTGCTTAATTAAACGCCTGTTCAAAGAGCCAGGTCTTCACTCTTCTCCTGAACGCCAGCATGGGATTCTGATTCTGGAGGCTTGGGTTCAAATCCTCGATTGGCGATGGAAACCTACTGGATGGCTTTGGATGAGTCACACACTCTCAGCCTCAGAGATGAGCCCTGCTGCATGCACAGTGGAGGACCTTCTTATAGAAACACCAGAGGCACTCCAAGTGGCCAGCTACTGGTCAAAGGACATTTAACCAACTACCAAGTTTGCAAACCTTTTTTTGTTTGTTTGTTTAATGCAGGGGTCCTCCAAGGTCATTTACCCGGCCCTCGCTCAGGGTCAACCTAAGTCGGAAATGACTTGAAAGCACACAAAAACAACAACAATCCTATCTCATCAGCCAAAAGCAGGCCCACGCTTCACATTGAAATACTAATAAGTTTATATTTGTTAAAATTGTTCTTCGTTTTAATTATTGTATTGTTTTTAATGTGTTTTTTGCACTACAAATAAGGTATGTGCAGTGTGCAAAGCAATTCATTCATTTTTTTTTCAAATTATAATCCCACCCTCCAATGTTTGAGGGACTGTGACCTGGCCCTTTGTTTCAAAAGTTTGAGGACTCCTGGTTTAATGCAATACAACTGTTTGGTTCGCTCCTGACACGATTAATAAATAGCCCCAGAAAACCCTGGGCCCTTATACCCCAGGATCTGATCCCAGGTGTTCTGTTTATCCCAGATTATCTGACAGTGGGGACTCATATAATTTGGTTTAAAGCAGAAAACCTGGGATAAGATGATGAGATATAGGGCTGGTCTGGAAGGGGCCAGAAAAGACATGAAGCCACACAACAACCAACAAATACAGTTAAGATACAGTGGCGATGATGTCAATACAAACACTCATTTCTTTTCTGATGCCAATGGCTGAGGTACACGGCCTGCCCGCCACTCTTAGAATTAGCCCTCTCCTGCTCCAGAAGAAAATCAACCAAGTGACATAACTACCCCGATACTGATGTTAAGGAAGGGTTCAACGCTTTTCTGACGGCAGTGGCTGAGGTGTAGGCCCACACACGCCTCATTACCTGGCTGGCTCTTCTATCCCCAAAAGGAGCAGCTTCTTCTCGACTCGGCCTCCCCCTCGCGCGGCCAACCGTCTCCTAGCAACCAAGCTAGCCAATCCACTGCGCTGGCTGAGTTCTCGTCCTTCAATCCCGCGAGATCTGAGTCCTTTCTTTGGATAATTGCTCTCAGAGCCCCAGTTTTGAGGAGGAAAGAGCTTGCTTCTCATGTCATGTCGTTTTGGGTTAGCGCGGATGAGCTCCCTCCGTCAGCTCCAGCTCCTCATGCGGGGACATGAGAGAAGCCTCCCACAAGGATGGTAAAAGATCAAAACATCCTGGCGTCTCCTGGGCAACGTCCTTGCAGACGGCCAATTCTCTCACACCTGAAAAGACTTGCAGTTTCTCAAGTCACTCCTGACACGACAAAACAAAACATTCTAAGATTCTCAAGTGGATGGGAAGAGGAAGGAAAGGACCTGAGGGATTTGCAGTACCTTCACTCACTCTACATCCTACTGCAGTTTGGAGGATGGACCATGGATGATGGGACTTGCAGTACCATCACTCACTTTCTGAGACCGCTTTGACCTTCATCCAATGACTGATCTAGACCAAACTTGGCACATAGACCTCTCATGACCCACTTTACGCCCTGGTGTGGTTTGGCCGGGGATGGACCATGGATTATGTGACTTGCAGTACCTTTGCTCAATTCCTGGGACCACTGCAAACAAACCTCATCCAATTGCGAAGAATCGTTCCAAAGGAGGGTTTGCCATTGCCTTTCACGGAGGCTCCTCTCACACAGCCCTATAACCCAGAATATCAAGGTAGAAAATCCCACAATATCTGCTTTGAACTAGGGGCCCTTCCATACGGCCCTATATCTTAGAATATCAAGGCAGAAAGTCCCACATTATCTGAGTGTGGACTCGCATAACCCAGTTCAAAGCAGATATTGTGGGATATTTTTTTTGCCTTGATATTCTTGAGATATGGGGATGTGTGGAAAGGCCCCAAGTTATCTGAGTCCACATTGCCATATAACCCAGTTCAAAGCGGACAGCGTGGGGAGCCTGGCTTGCTGAACAGTCAAACCAAGGACATCTCTACATCTTACCCTAAAAATCACCTTTGGATTTGAATAATAAAGGTAAAGATTTTCTCCTGACATTAAGTCCAGTCGTGTCCGACTCTGGGGGTTGATGCTCATCTCCATTTCTAAGCCGAAGACCCGGCCTTGTCCACAGACACCTCCAAGGTCATGTGGCCAACATGACTGCATGGAATGCCGTTACTTTCCTGTCGGAGTGGTACCTATTGATCTCACATTTACATGTTTTTGAACTGCTAGTTTGATAGAAGCTGGGGCTAACAGCGGAAGCTCACTCTGCTCCCCGGATTCCAACCTGCAACCTTTTGGTCAGCAAGCTCAGCAGCTCAGTGTTTTAACCCACTGTGCCACCACAGTAAATAACTGATTTTTAAAAAATCATTGCAAGAGTTGATTGAATATGCCTAAGCGAAACCTGTTTATTTATTGTGTCAGAAGCAAATTGAGACTACAATTATAATGCATTAAAAATCATGAAAGTTGAATCTTTTAAACTGCAAAAAACTATTTATTGTGTGGCCATAGCAATAACGACAAACAAGCATACAGGAATGCCATCAAAGGGTTTGTCGCAACCCCAATGGGGCTGCAGAGCTTTTATCTCTTTGGTAGTAAATGGAATATACATTTTTATTCATTCCCAAAGACAAATCATTTCATTTGTCTAAGCTAGCTATAGACTTGTTCATTTATTGTTTATGATTTTGATTGACATTATAGCACACATGGGATCCTAACAATGACACAACTATGACACAAGTTTAGTCTATTGTTCTCTGACCATGACTGTATCTTATATGTTAGTCTGTTGCAAACATGGCTTCAGAGCGACTGGGAAACTTGGGAAGTACTAACTCGCCATCAGCTAGCTGGTTTTGTCCGGATATGCTGTCATCCTTGAATAATTTCTCTGGAACACTGATTTCTCAAACAATCAGCATTTTCTGTAAACACAGGCCTACTGCAGAAATAGGCCAATATGGCAGTAAATCACCACCTCCTCTATCTTGTTCATGCCCAGCATTATTTTTAACTTAATTGCATTGGCCCAGCCATAGTTTTAAATGTGTCTTGTGTTATTGTTCAATGTTTATGCTAATTGTGTATGAGATTTATTTTAATTGCTTTGTATTAGTAGTTGTATTTTGCTTCGTATTGTGGTTGTTATTGCTTGTATTGTGGGCTCGGCCTCATGTAAGCCGCACCGAGTCCCTTGGGAGATGGTAGCGGGGTATAAATAAAGTTTATTATTATTATTATTAAATCAGGACATATGGGCATTGGAAACATCTCTGAAAATTCCCTTTTAAAAACCACATCCCCTCTACTATGGGAGACTTCTCTCCTGTCCCTGTATGAGAAGCTGGAGCTGACAGATGGAAGCTCATCTCGCTCCCGTTTGGTCAGCAGTCCTGCAGACACAAGGGTTTAAACAGAGGCTAGAAGTGGCCATTTGATTGAGAGAGAGAGAAATTCTCTTCCAACTCTAGCATTCTATCTCTGCGCTGTTTGCTGACGCTTGCCTTCTGGGAAGTGTAGTCTTCCCCCCTCCCCGCGGTGCATTGTGGGCGCCGCGGCTGTTCCGGCGCGATGAGTGACGCCACTTCCGTTTAGGAGGAGGCGAGAGGAAGGCGAGTGCCGCCGCCGCTGCTGCTGCTGTGTCAGGGTTGGCCTGAGGGGCGATGGCCGGCGCGGGGGCCACTTTCCGGCTCCGCTGCTCGCTGGCGGGCCATGAGCTGGACGTGCGCGGCCTCAGCGGGGCCCTCTTCCCGGCCGGGGCCTTTGTGTCGGTGTCCCGGGACCGGACCGCACGCCTCTGGGCGCCCGACAGGTCAGAGGCCTCCTCCTCGCCCATTTGCTTGGATCCACCCTTTAACAGCCCAGAATCGATACGAGGGGCCTCCCCACAGTCACATGAGTGCAGTTTGGCCCCACTCAGTGCTGTGGCATCATGAGAGGTTTTATTTTACCTTTTGGCAGGGAAAGCCAGATGTAGAACCAAGGCAAAGTAGTGAAAAACTAACTAAAGGTGCATCTACACCAGGCATGGTCCAATTTGGGCCCTCCAGGTGTTTTGGACTGCAACTCCCACAATTCCTAACAGCCGGCAGGCTGTTAGGAATTGTGGGAGTTGTAGTCCAAAACACCTGGAGGGCCCAAGTTGGACCATGCCTTATCTACACCATTGATGACAAACTTAGGCCCTCCAGGGGATTTGGACTTCAGCTCCCACAATTCCTTTGTCACAGGAGAATACACAATCAAAGCCCTCCTGACAGATGGCCATCCAGCCACTGCTTTAGAACCTTATGGAAAGGAGACTCGAAGCACATTCCCAGGCAGTATATACCACTGCCAAATTGTTATTTCCGCCAGGACAATTCCCAAAAAATTAAGTGGGATCTCTTTTTTCGCAGTGTGAATCTGTTCAAGTTGCAGGAAAGTCCTATTCTCTGGGGTAGCAGGAAATAAGCTTTCCCCTTTAAATATAAGTATTACCATCTTTTAAAAAATTAAACATGGTTACCATGGCTCTACTTTATTTTCTCAAGCTAAATACACCCAGATCTTTAAGATTGTGTCAACAACACTGTCCTTATATCGCAGGATGTGATCCCAGATTATCTGGCAGTATAGACTCATATAATCCAGTTCAAAGTGGATGATCTGGGATCAGATCCTGGGATATAAGATAGTGTAGATCCAATCTAAGATGCTAAGGGATTCATGATTCCCAACCTTTGGCCATCTTGGTGGCCCTTCTCTGGGCACCTTCCAAGTCACCCATCTCCTTTTTGAATTGCTTTACCCAGAACTGGACACAGTCTTATTCCAAATGTGGAATAAGCAGAATAGAATGGGACTATGATTTCTCTCAATCTAGATCAGGCATGGGCAAACTTGGGCCCTCCAGAGGTTTTGGACTTCAAATCTCACAATTCCAAACAGTCAGTAGGATGTTGGGAATTGTGGGAGTTGAAGTCCAAAACCGCTGGAGAGCCCAACTTTGCCCATGCCTAATCTATATTGTTGAATTAATGCAGTGTGATACCACTTGAGCCTGCCATGGCTCAATGCTATGGAATCATGGAAGTTGTACCTTTACTAGATCTTCTAAATTGATATATGGTAGCCCTAAGCCAAGCATGGGCAAACTTCAGTAGCTCTAGACCAGTGGTTCTCAACATGGGGTCCCCAGATGTTTTTGACCTACAACTCCCAGAAATCCCAGCCAGTTTACCAGCTGTTAAGATTTCTGGGAGTTGAAGGCCAAAAACAACTGGGGACCCCAGGTTGAGAACTGTGGTTGGTGTGTTACACTATGCTGAGATACATCTTACATCTTCACAAAAGAATTAATGCAGTTTGAGACCACTGTAACTGTCCGCAACTACATGCTTGGGAATCGTGGGAATTGTAGCTTTCCAAGGTCTTTAGCTCTCTCTGCCAAAAAGTGATGATGCCTCAACAAAGTACAAATCCCAGGATGCTGTAGCATTGAGCCATGGCAGTTATAATTGTGTCGGGCTGCATTGATGCCACAGTTCAAATGTATCTTTGGTGGTTGTTTGAAAACTTGGGAAATATCTTTATTTACACTGAGTATCTCTAATAATAATAATAATCATCATCATCATCCTTCGACAATACAATAATAATAAACTTAAATTATCTTTCCAATGAGGACTCAGGGTGGTTCACAACATACAGAGCAAACATTCAATGCTGTAAAAAAAGCAAATAAACCATAAATCAAATAATAATAATAATATAATAATAATAATAATAATAAACTTTATTTATACCCCACCACCATCTCCCCAACGGGGACTCGGAGCGGCTTACATGGGGCCAAGCCCGAACAACAAACTACAATATAACAATACAAATTGCAGTGAAATAAACAACATAACATTAAATGTAAAACATTAAAACATATAAAACAATATACACAGAGCATAGGAACCAAACATAATGACAGAGAGCGGGCCGCATG